CCACGCAGAATTAAAAAAAATGTAGTTATTAACCTATGCGTTCTTCCAGACTATGTTTTGCTTCTATTGCCATCTGAAATCTTCCATTCTGAAGATACGTTCTAACGGATGTTAGAATGTATAGATGGATGGATATCCATCTATACATTCTAACATGCGCATTTATAATATTAGTAAGATTTAATACACAATATTTTTATGTTTATGTATATTTGAACAGAAAGGATATAATGAAGGAGCAATATAATGGTCCAATCCCGCGTCCCTTAACCCCGCTCCCTTAAGACCTGTATCGCCATTATCTTAATGTCAACGATTTCTTTGGTTATTCAATCTGACGCTTATTGCTTCCCGTTGTTTGTATAATCTTCATCCTCATTAAGCAAAGTAAAGCTTTTATATAAAAGGAAAATCGTTACGTTAATTTTGTGAGAATACTATACAAGTATATTTGTATACTTTTATTCCAACAATAGTCCTTTTACTATTATATAAACACCTCTTAACGCTTAATACGATGGTGGCCAGTGTGACGAACAACTAATAAAAAAACTACTGAACTAGTTTACAGAAAAATACCTAAGTATGACTTTACTAAAAAAACAGTTTTTTTGCCACAAAAAATTTCGTCGAATAAGGGTTAATACCAACAACAAAAAATAACATACCAACTCTTAATGTACTAAAATATATTTGGAGTTGGTATGTTTAATTTAAAAACAACAAAGATCGGATGAAACTTTTCTACTATTACATCTATTAAATAACATTTAACTAAATACAGACCACACAGAAGACAGGCGTGAAGTGAAAGCAATTCCGCGTTTCGTCTGATGAGCGTGTGTCCAGGAGGCCTAATTTAGTCCTCTTTCATTTCCCACCCTTTTTCTTATAAAGAAAGGATGGGAAGTGGATGTGGACTTTCCGGATGAGAGAATGCATGGGAAGAGAAAATATTTTCTTTCTGTGCATCCTCTCCTCCGTCGATTAAAGGTAGGCAACGCATATGCAATTGCGTTTGTCTATGGGCAACGGTCACATCGCTATTTCAGCGATTTCACGTGGCCGCTTGCTCATTTGCCACCTTATGTTTTAAAAAAATAATAATATAGAACATTTGGTTTTTGCTTAAGTAGTAACCAAATTAATATCACAATAAGCTTTTTAAACGCCTTATATACGTTGCTATAACATATTTATTATCTTAAAATATTATTATTATTATTATTCTATTATACCTTTACATTATTTTTAAACGTACAGAAAACTAAATTACAACAGCATGTATGTTATAACTAAAGGGATGTGAGTTGGCAAACTCGAGGATATCCGCACAGGCCATTAGACGGGCCACGAGGTGTACATAAGAGGCGTACATAAAGTTACAAACAACCTTCAGAGAACAAGTTATTGGCCGTTTTAACTTTGAGACCGCGCAGGAAACTCCGGTCTCCGGGAACGGACGTAGGTATCACCGCACTTCCTCTCTACGAACTATCTACGAAAGCGTACCATATTCAGTTCATCCATTACGTAACTTTCAAGGCATGTTTTTTTTGTTAAACAGCCTATCATGCACCTGTTTTATTATATCAAATAGATTATTATAAGAACAAGACACGTACAATGTTTATTTCTTATAATTGCCTTAGTACAAACATGGGAAATTAAAGCCTTTTTCGTGAAACTATCAAATATATAGGTATGTACATAACATATAAATATAAAGTCCGTTAATTCATCAGTTTGTTACCCTGATTCAGTAAATTAACGGTTTTAATTGTCTGAACCTATAATTATTTTTATTTCGTAGCAAATTGAACCACAGCACACGTAAATGACTAAAGTCCAATTAAACCCCTGCAATTACCAAGTGACTCGGTTGGCGCCGGGTGACGGCGATTGTATTCACATTTTTTTTATTTCTGCCGGCAAAAGCAATTATAGCACAAGCCGCTCGGGACACCAGATGATTAACACGAATCGTTAAGCGGATTAAGCTTATTTAAATTAAAAACGCTCGGCTTCATCAAAATCTGTACTGAGAACAACCGAAACATAATCTAGACGGTTCATTAATTTATCTAGCTGGAGTTTTAGTTTCTTAATAACGAGACACAAGGTTTTTTTTAATTAAAAACTTGACCTTGTCCCATACAAAAAAAATACTTTTTTTATAAGGTGCTTAGGTGTAAGGTGGCAAACGTGCAAGCGGTCACCCGAACACGTCAAATAGCGAAGCAACCACAGCCAATAGATATAATTAAAGCAAACTTTCAACAAGATTAAGGGTTAAGAATGAAAAAAAAATTAAACAATAAATGTAAAAGTTGCCCAAAGTATTTTAGTTTTATTTCCTGAAGGAGAGTGTATGGAAGTAGGATAAAGTACAACTAGAAAAGCATCACTTTTCATAATAAGGTTCGTGTTTAATATGAAAATACATTTCCATTGCATTTTTCATATAAACAGTCAGTTTTTCGTCATAAAAGACTTTCTCATCTGCAAGTTTCATCTAAGGCGAGCATATTCTTTAAGAAAAATTAAACTTCTATATCATGAAAAATATGGCAGTTGTTATTAAAACTTATACAACAAAGATGAATTATTATTAATTTGATTTCGAAGATGACAATAATCTAGCTCTAGATTACAATGAGAAAACGTGGCAAAGAAATCGTAGAAAATAACTAAAAAAAATCATTCTAAAGTATAGAAAATAATGTTATATTTACGTGCAGGACTTTAGTACTACAAAAGTATATAATTTACTACTTTGTTCTTCAAATTCATGTTGCCCTCTTTGACAATTTACGCTACGAAACAAAGATAACAACTTGAAACTGTAATAAGAGCGACTGAGATAAATAATTTCAGCCAGTTTCGTCCTTATTTTACCGGCGTGCCTCGAAGTTTGTTGTTAATAGCCTGTCTATTTCGTTTTAATTTTTAAATAAAACTTTACTTTAAAGTACTTCGACTTTTCACACACATTTAAAGTGAATTTTGAAATTATTAAGGCAGGGGTGTTATCGTAAAATTCCATGGCTGAAACAATTATATTAAAATATAATGTTTTCTCTGTTTTCTTCAAAGAGAATGATAGGGTAAACAATATGTTTTATACACGTGTTTTGACCGTGGAAACCTACGTTAATAAAATATAAAACATGACCGCACAGCGGATAGTAATTTCTTTCAATCTTTTCATAAGCGGCAACGCTCGCAATCTTTTCGTCTCTCAGCTGTCTCGTTATGTCTACATTCATACAGTACTCTAATCTAAGAGAAACACTTTCTATAAATATATCTTAGTTTTGGAATATCTTTTGTTTTTTTAACGTCAACTGTTTTTTAACAAACAATAAACGCAACTGACTGTACTCCAGAAATATTCCAGAAAAGACGATATCGATTCAAACGTCAGAACACTATTCGAAATTCGTCAAGTCAAACTACATGTCATAATACAGAAACTTTATTCTGTCAAAAAATGTAGCTAATAATTTATTAAAAAGTATTTTTTATTTAAAAGGTTGACTAACATCGTCATCATGCGGTAATTGTATAAACCTTCAACGTAATACAATTATCTTAGACGCCCGAGTTGCCGCGCTGCTCAATATTTGTTGAGGGAATATTGTAAAAAATTATCACGACCTTTCCTTGATCAATATGAAATTACTTTCGACATACACACGCTCGTCCGTTCATGTGGAACAAATCGTATTATAGAAAGGTCAACTTTTGACATTCATACAATATGTTTTCGCAACGAAATATTGTTACTATTCGAATTAAATCTAACTGCTTGATAATAATGACTCCGTTAAAATTGGCTAAATAGAGGATGAAGTAAATAAAACTCTACATGGACCTTGTACCTTGTATATAAATATATAAAATTAGTAAATAACAATATTTTGCGAACATTTGACAATAAACTTGCGGCCCTTTCTGTATATGTTATTGTCTACATTCAGTCATTGATTAAATTGAACAGATTAGCTTAAAGATTACATTTTAGCTTTTATCTAACATATTGTTACATCGTAGTATGAGAATACAGATAAGAAAATACAATATTCGTATCAAGCGTACCTTAGTTATGGAACATAAACATATAAAGCTGAAAATGTGCCAGTATTTTTACGTTCACAAAACCTTATTTATTTTTCTTCGCGCGTATATTCCAGAACTGTAAGCCAAATCCGACCGTCTTGGCTGTCGTCTCGTAAACTTGATAAAAAGAAGGATCGTATTGCAGATTTTCTCGCGAACGAAATGATTCTTTTGTGACAAAATTACGATGTGAATAGATGTCTATCAGCTTTGTTAGTATCTATTTTTATGCCCGCCTACAGCACACGGTTATTTGTGTAATCAGAAACAAGTCTTATATGGTTTTTCCTAAAAAATTCCAAAGCAAATGACCTAGTAGTATATTAAGATATTCTTTATTGCATATCAAAGGATTACAGTACCAATATCGCCTTGGCTCCTTAACTACATAGGTAAGCCTGAATTGAAGGAGCTAATGACTTTCCTTTCTAGTGATTATTTATGTTATTGCAAGAATAAATTGTTTTTATATAACAAACCAATACTCCAAAAGTGTTTCTCAAACTGACTCGTCATTATCTCATGAAATAAATACATTCTACTGCACAAGGTGGAGAGAGAATAGACTTTGTAAATGGTAACCATTGTCTATAGACGGCTAGAGCAGTCTCTTTCAGAATAAAGGAAGTGTATTTAGCGAGGCGTAATAGTCAGTAGTCGACTAGTTCTCAGTTCTTGCGGTCTTTATTCCGTCTGACGTCATTTTGCGCCATGCACACGTATTTATTACATTTTCTCTTTCAATTCAATGTTCTCTAACATTTCGTATTTTCTATTGAGAGAAATAGGAAATAATTTTAGCTTCTGAGACTTATCGAGGGGTTTATTTTATTTCATGTTACTAAAAAGTTTATTCATTGTCATGTCATTTGTTTCAGGTGACACGGATGAACATGGCCTGCCGAAGGATAAGGACAAGGGATATGACACCAATCTCTATCTGTACCATGTAAGTAACGTATCATATAAGATCCAAAACAATTTTAATATTGAAAATTTTATGATACACTAGCTGTAGCCCGCGACTCCGTCTGCGTGGAATTAAAATATATATAATTTCCCATCTTAACATTCGCATTTATAATATTAGTAAGAAAAAGAATCTTACTACTTATTTTGAAGTTAGTGTTTATTTTGGAAATATTATTTTATCTTTAAATATAGTTAAGATAAATAGTAATAAAGACAACGTTAACATACTTTCGGATTGTAATAAGTATATACGAAAACAATAAATAATTTATTACCTAAATAAGTAAAGGCGTTGACTTGTGAATGAGGACGAAATTTTGCCGTTGCCTTTTGTTTGTCACAAAATAATATCACAAGCGACAATTGTAATGTCATGTCTTGTCACGCAGACTATGTCACCTAATGTGTTGACTGCTCGTCTAATATTGTTGTATATAAGTGTAATAAAAATATGTGATGCTCATCTTATTCACAGACTCCGGCTAATTTATTTAAAGAAATGTTGTCCAAAACAAAAGTCATGAATACTTTGTGTCAACTCATAGCAAAGTTCTGTAAGACTTGAAGGCTATACGACACATAACTAATGCAATGTTCTCCCCCTCACCCCTTCTGCCCTCTATTTCGCCCTTACGTCATACTGGAACGTTAACTTCACTCTGGATTGAGTTACACTTAATATTGTTTACTCTGTACAACGGAACGTCGTAAAACTCTCAAGAATTACGAGCCAACTTATTTATCGAGTCCTTCCTATACGCGTTCTATAAAGCAATTTCTTAAGAGTCAAAAAATAATTCGATGAACATATTTAAATTGTTTTTTGGCACTTATAACTCATGTAAAAGTATAAAAATGGCGAATTATATTTAGGAATTAAAAGTATAAAATTGCCTACACAAGTAACAGACCTCGAAAACTAATTAATAATTAAAACAAAGAGTCATTCATTCAGTTATTTCTTCATATACCCAATAAAAGTTAAGTGCCTTCTGAAAAGTCAGCAAAAATAAAGCACAATCCAATCTTTTTAAGCGAACAATAGTTTTTATTGGTTGAAATTGAAGCACTTTTGTAAGAAGGACAATTTAAGGATGTCTGTGTTAAGTGTCATTCAAAAGAAACGAAACAAGTCGCTCAGCTCGTTGAATTCCAACTCAAGTGAAAAGTACATGAGCTTGTGATGTTTCGTAGCGACCTTGTAGTACCGTAGCAATGTAGCTGTGTCGCAGCGCCATGTATTGAAAACGTACTATTCTAGAAAATCCATTCCTGCTCTTCTCAGGTATTGACAAAACCTGTCTATCCTCGATCAAAAGATTAACTAGGAATCATTGTTGTTCATCGTTTTTTTAATAATAATAATTCTATGAAATTTATATCTCCTAATATCATGCATATTAAACATTTTTTATCGTAAATAGCATAATAATTTATTTACTTTCTTCAATAAATACCATTAACATTATTTCAAATCGAAATGATCCAAGAAACTGTCGTAAAAGGCTATATTTTTGTACCATAAAACATTATTTAGGTTAAGGGAGGATGAAAAAAAATAACAAAACGAGATTAAAGTTAGGATAACACGTAAATTCAAGTTATGGCTGCCAAAATACGGCCGTGTACTGTAATAAGAATTGAAATTTACATGAAAGCAAGCTTACGCCTTGGTTATAAATATAAAAGCTCTTAATAAAAGTACCCACGTTTAAGTAAACGGCGGCTTTCGAGCTCCGTCACTGGCGCAGTTTCTTAGATGACGATACGAGTACTCATCACCATCAGCAAAATTTATGACTTTTACTACGAACATTTTTATTATTATTTATCATTATTACATCTATGAATCTTACTTATATAGGTAAATATGTAGGATGTATGTTAGTTAGAAGGTATCACCGGAAAGTCACAACGGATCTTTGATGAAATTTGACATAGATGTGGAACATACTCTAAAGGAGTACACGAGCTAGTAATAAAGATTTATTTTAATTCCGCGCAGACGGAGTCGCGGAAGACAACTAATAAAATAAGATTTCATGGTATGTCATTTATTATTAAAATATTTAAACAATACGTCTAGTACATTAGGTAATGATAATATTTAAATAAAAGAATAATTTAGCACAATAACTAATAAATAAATGAAAATAGTCTACTATTAAAATTATATTTGTTAACAATGCTGAGTTTTTAAGTGCTTCGCCAGTCTCTACCTTGATTGAAAGATAATGGTCAAGTCTTTCCTTTGTAGACAGTTCTTTTATAACGTATTACAAAGGAGAGTTTAAAACAATAGCATGATTTTTCCTCTTTCTTCACTCGAGGTTTTAATTATGATAGGGTATTGACCCTAGGGTTATTCAAACTTTCGTGAGCCATTATAACAAACTTATATAAAAACGGTTAAACATTCACGAGTATTCGTCCGGTGGCGGCACCGACTATTTTCGAGTCCATCGGGGCCCTTATCAGGGTGAGTGGGACTGGTATTATTTCGCGGATGCGGCCCGTCGCTCAGAGTGAGCGTCGAATATATAATCTGAACGTATTAATATTACATGGTATATTTAACGACTATATCTGGTTATTGTCACTGCCATTATGTAGACGAGAATTAAAATTTACATGTACAAGATCACTTAAGTACTTACTGACGTTACCAACTTACTTGGAATCATAACACTTATATGTCATCACATTTACTAAGACAGGTATATAACATCATTTCACTAATTATGTAACGGATGTGATTTTATATAAATAACATTATCTGAACGCACGACTTCATTTGTACTTAATTGAATTAAAACTTAATTAGTAGCCTATATATTTTTCCAGGGTACGGTGTACATCTACCAAATTTCAACGAGATTCGTAGAGCTGTTTTGGAAATACCTTCTAACAAAAATCTATAGTTTCGTATTTATAATATTAGTCAAATATATCTAAATACAGTTCAGGCTATAATTTATATTATTCCTACGGTATTCCAAAATAGAAATCGTTACCTCAGACAAGTTACACAATTCCTTAAAATTATAATACGATGCGTTCAAACAGGACCTCTATTAAATTAAAATTTACAAGCTTCTAATAGACCTAACAGGTACTAATTAAGCAAAAAAAAAATGAGAGAAAAGCGAAATATTTTTTTAATATAATTAATACTGTTTCTTTGTTGTTAGTTTCTTCTTTATGCAACTTAATTATATTAAAAGCACTTAAATTATGATTTCAATAGAACTGTCAATATGTCAAATGCCATAGAATTCATACAATACAAATCATAATTTTATACCAAAACAAGATCTAAATTGCTTTAGCGTCTTATATCCGGCGGATATTAGTCTGGTTGACAACCTTGATCGATTGTCTGAGCTGAGCACTCTACAACTGAGGCCGCTCTTTACAGCTCGCAGCGACTCTACCAAAAGGAAAGATATGAAGCCTCTTTTCAATCTTCGTAGGTCAAGCGCACTTCAGTTCGGTCGTGATAATTTCTTACTCCGTATAAATACATGTATATGAAAAACTGGAAACAAGAACCACAAATTAAACCTTTATCATTCCTTCACATTTAATAAGGTCCAAGATCTTTAAAGATAACTCGGATGAAAAAATTAAGTATTGTTAGGAAGAAAATCAGACACTATGCCATTTGACACTTGACTTGGTAACAAAAGCGCGCCATACGCCCTAAATGATTCAAACTAATAATGTCTAAAAGTATATACTCCACGGAGTACAATCGATGCAACTGAAGTTATTTATCCAGCGTATTCTCCTCTTGTTCCGTCAATCAAGTCGTCTAACAAATACACCAACCGTTACTTTGTTACTGCTGTAGCTTGAACTGGTGATAGCTCCCCTGGCGCCTGCAACAAGCTCACGGCAAACGATGCAAATGGCGCGTGAATAAAATAAGAGAGCTAGCGACCCGGCAACCGTTTTCAGTCCCGAGTTGCCGAGCACATTGCATTAGATGAAGCGGGCCAGTAAAGTCAATATTCAATTTAAATCACATTTCTTACGATTGCATAGAATTCAACAATTTCATGTTTATAAAACAGAATTTAACAATCGACGACTAACCTATTCTTAAGTTAGCAATGAGGAAAGTTGACTTTACCTACTACTGATGTATGCAGTATTATAAGACACACGATATATCTGGGTTTCAGGATGTCTTACTCAAGCAAAACCAAATATTATATTCACTGCTTTATTTTCACTTTGCCACAACCTTCCACTTCAACCGCTCGATACCGAATGTCCAACCGACCTCGTTCTACCTCCCAGCTCTCGATAAATTTTTCGTCCCTCTCCCCGACAGCTTAAAGTGTTGCCCGTACAATTAACGAACCCTAATATTAGGGAACCCTAACAGTATGAAGATGTTGATTTAGTTTTATGTTTTGTATACGCCGTATGTACAAAATTGTGTGTTTCAGTATACAATAATCCTATAGTTAGTGTTTGAAAATGTAAATAAAATAACTTTTGTTATATTTTCTGCATTCATATTACTCGTTGCTATGTTAAATTATTCTACCCTACAATTCAACTTTATTATGCCGTACACCCTTCTCTGATATACATTTACATAATTGTAACGTTCACGTTCACTGGAACATTGACGTTCCACACAAGCACGCTCCGGACAGAATAACAATGCAGCGAATCTAATTTATTCCGACCTTTGTTATAATCTTTTCAAATACTTTCTTCATTTTATAATCGTTGTCCTACTTCAACAATAAAGATTAACAACGCTTTCCAATTTAGGTAGAAACTTAAAGGAGGCTTTGTAAAATTTGTTTAATAGTCCAATATTTTATACAATATCATGACACTCATTATCATACAATCGATATGCGCGCAAAGCAAACAAATATTTTGCTCACAAATCTAAATAAACATGACATTTGTTAACGAGGAAAAGAACCTAAAATCGATTATTATTGTAAGTAATAAAGTTATATTTTTAACAAAATTGAATAACTTTATTGCAGGAGGAGATGGAAGATCGCCCTCGCGCGGCAACATTCCTCAGCTCGCTGGCGGACTACTCCAATACCATACCGACGGCGTCGACGGCGGACCCCGACGCCGCGAAGCCCGCGCCGCCTGCGCGCATGGGCACACTCATCGGCGTCTACCTACCCTGCATACAGAACATCTTCGGCGTCATTCTCTTCATCCGTCTCACGTGGGTGGTCGGTACTGCCGGCGCTATACAAGGCTTCTTAATTGTACTTACATGCTGTTGTACGGTAAGTGAAATAAAGGATAATAGTTTATTTATAATGAAAAGTTATCAGTTACGATTCCACGTTGTCTTTTTACTATCAAAGGAATGGCGAAAGGTGATTAACTGCATAATTGCAATTATATTATAGACGATGCTGACGGCGATATCGATGTCTGCGATTGCGACTAACGGCGTGGTGCCAGCGGGCGGATCGTACTTTATGATCGGGCGGTCACTGGGCCCAGAGTGCGGAGGCGCAGTCGGCATGCTCTTCTACACCGGTACCACTCTCGCCGCCGCTATGTACATTGTCGGCGCCGTCGAAATCGTACTGGTAAATACACGATCTCATTGTTAATTTCTACTATGTATATATTTTAAACAGGCAATAGACGGCAATTATTGAAACAAAATGTTAAATTTTTACATCAATCAGTGTCTTTTTATATCACAGTATAATATATTGAATTCAAAAAACGATTATAGTAACAAAACCATCTCTCTGGTGAAAACAATCATCCTAAATAAGTCCAGCTTTCCGGATTTTTGTGACTGTCGTTTGTTTTTCATTTAAATAAAAATCAAATTACAATTGTTACATAAAAATAATTTGAAAAGGCCTCGCATAACAATCATAATATTTCTGCCATTCCAAAAACAATCGCAATTCAATTAATGTTCGAGTGTCAACGGCCTTCGTGCCCGGAATATGATTTCCACAAACATTCCTCTCGCAGCCCCAATAACTGCCCACTATCCTTGCTGATACAGGATATTGTTAACCTTGGATTATACCACTGAACGTGAATAACTTTTCCTTACGTTCGCATGACATCTTCTTATCCAGAATTTAACAAAAGCTAAATAAACTCAATGACTTTAACTTTCCCGTAAGACTCAAATTTCGGGTTTTGTTGGTTTTTTATTTGGGAATCTTCTGAAACACCAACTTCTTATCAACAGACATACATGGCCCCGTGGATGTCGATCTTCGGAGATTTTACAAAGGACCCTGACGCAATGTACAATAACTTCCGCGTCTATGGAACAGGACTCTTGCTTATAATGGGTATGGTGGTGTTCGTCGGAGTGAAATTCGTCAATAAATTCGCAACTATTGCCCTCGCCTGTGTCATTCTGTCTATTAGTGCTGTCTACGCGGGAATCTTCGTTAATTTCAACGGAAACACTAAACTTCAGTAAGACCGTTTTAAGTATAGATAAATATGTTGAAACTATTTATGGTTTGTATTAATTAATTATTCTGATGTGTTTTTCTAGAATGTGCGTTCTCGGAAAACGTCTACTCAAAGATATAAACATAGACAACTGCACAAAGGACGTCGGCGGCGAACTCCATCAATTGTTCTGCCCCAATAACCTTTGCGACCCCTACTATGCCGCACATAATGTTAACATTGTACAAGGAATTAAGGTAGAGATAAAATGCTTAATAAGTCTAAATAATCTTAAAAAATGTCATCTATTTAGAAGAACTAATGTTTTTCTTAAATTATCTTATGAGTTATTCGATACAGGCAATGCGTCCAATACCATAGATCCTCCCCTTTTCGCAAATACTTCACAAGAAAAAACATCTATTCTACGGCCTTCCACATAAAGTCTATAAATTTGTATATACTAGCGTGTGCTATTCAAATTTATTGAATTTTGTGCCATAATTCTTGTAACTTCTAATTCTAGGGTCTGGCTAGTGGAGTCTTCTTTGACAATCTTCAAGATTCATTCCTCCAACTCGGACAATATATCGCTTACGGCAAAGAACCTGATGACATTGAACAAATGGAGAGACCTACTTATAATCAAGTGTATGCCGACTTGACAACTACTTTTACCATTTTAATAGGAATATTTTTCCCATCAGTAACTGGTAAGTATTCTTTGATGAAAAGATTCTTGGTTAAAAAATGTATAATACTATTCTTACTTTAAAAATATTTACCTAGGTATAATGGCGGGATCGAATCGTTCTGGTGATTTGGCTGACGCTCAAAAAAGTATCCCGATCGGAACTATTTGTGCAATTTTAACAACTTCGACAGTCTATTTATCTTGTGTCTTGCTCTTCGCGGGAACTGTTGACAATCTATTGCTTCGTGACAAGTACGTAGAATATTTTTCAGTGTATTTTATTTTTATTTTCAAACTTATTAATACTTAGCATTTCTTTTTCATGTTGGTTTTGCGTCCAATCATTGCTGTTGATCATTCGATAATACTATTTCAGATTCGGTCAATCTATTGGAGGTAAACTTGTAGTGGCGAACATGGCTTGGCCAAATCAATGGGTGATCTTAGTCGGCTCGTTCCTCTCGACTCTTGGAGCTGGTCTGCAATCATTAACTGGTGCTCCTCGTTTACTGCAAGCAATTGCCAAAGATGAAATTATACCATTCTTAGCACCTTTCGCTGTGTCATCTAGTAGAGGTGAACCTACCAGGTAAGAAAATCTAAATATATCAACTCTTTTCCTTATTGCTACTACTACATTTTATTTTATTTTTTCTTTTCACAGGGCCCTGCTTTTGACAATGTTAATCTGCCAGTGTGGTATTCTCCTTGGCAACGTTGATATCCTCGCCCCACTGCTGTCGATGTTCTTTTTGATGTGCTACGGTTTCGTAAATTTGGCTTGTGCCCTGCAAACATTATTAAAGACACCTAATTGGCGTCCGAGATTCAAATATTATCACTGGTAAGTTAACTTATTGTAACCTTGTAACCTATGATGTGTTTATCAAACTCACTAACAAATCTAAAATTTTAAATTTTTTTAGGTCTCTGTCACTAGCTGGTTTGACCTTATGCATTTCAATTATGTTTATGACATCATGGTTTTACGCATTGATTGCCATGGGTATGGCCGGTCTTATCTACAAGTACATTGAATATCGTGGGTCAGTATAATACAAAGCATTTGTCAAAGCAATGATTATAAAATGCAATGTAAACATTATTAAAAATTAATTTATAAACAATTTTAGAGCGGAAAAGGAATGGGGTGATGGATTACGCGGTCTGGCATTATCAGCTGCGCGTTACTCATTGTTACGTCTAGAAGAAGGTCCACCCCACACTAAGAATTGGCGGCCACAAGTTTTGGTCCTTGCGAAACTTAACGATGATTTGAATCCTAAATACCGTAAAATGTTAGCTTTTGCGAGTCAACTTAAAGCAGGTAAAGTTGGAAAATTTTACTTGTTTTGGCTAATTAAATTCTCAAATTCGATCATTTTGTATGAATCGTAAATAAACTTGGTATTGAACTTTTTAATACAGGCAAAGGATTGACAGTTTGCGTGTCTGTGCTTGGTGGCGACTTCCCTCGGCGGGCCGGTGAATCGCTAACTGCCAGACAAAATCTCCGTAAAGCCATGGACGCAGAAAAAGTTAAAGGATTTGTAGATGTTCTTGTATCCCACAACATTGCTGATGGGCTGAGTCACTTGTAAGTTATAATTGATTTTAAAAAAATAATAAAAACTAAAATAAAATAATAAAAACTGTAAGCTACTCTTGAAACGCGTTATACTCATGGAAGAAAATCTTTCTTTCCATTACAATTTAACTAAGGTAGATGTAGAAGCCAAAATAAGTAATTAAATTACATTTTTAACAAAATATTTATTATAAACAGCGTCCAGACAAGTGGGTTGGGCGGGCTCAAACCAAACACCGTAATACTTGGCTGGCCTTACGGTTGGAGGCAATCGGAAGACAAGCGAACTTGGGAAGTGTTTCTAGACACTGTGCGCGCTGTCACCGCTGCTCGAATGGTCATGCTTGTACCGAAAGGCATAAACTTCTTCCCTGATAGCACTGAAAAGGTTAGTCTATTTTATCAATAAAAAATCGAAAGTTCTATCTCCAATCAACGTTTTAACTTTCCCATAACGTATATGGATTTTCTTAACAGACGCGTTTTGAACATTTAAATTAAAAATTGTATTTCCTGCAGGTTGCTGGCAACATTGATATTTGGTGGATAGTTCACGACGGTGGTATGTTGATGTTGTTGCCATTCCTGCTGAAACAGCACCGCACCTGGAAAAATTGTAAGATGCGCATTTTCACTGTTGCGTTGATGGAAGACAACTCTATACAAATGAAGAAAGATCTCAAGATGTTCCTCTATCAACTCCGTCTTGAAGCTGAAGTAGAAGTAGTTGAAATGGTATTAAAATATTTCATTAAAGTATATTACGTTCATACACATTTTGCGGTCTGACTATAATATGATGTAAGTTGCTGTTATTGTCTTGCGAAAAATAGAATTAGAAGTATTGTTTGAAAATTTAAAAAGATCTCTTCTGCGGTCCTCGGTCTTCACTCGAATGTATGTATGATTTTTTAATAATGTTGATTATTTTACAGACTGATAGTGACATCTCTGCTTACACCTATGAGCGAACTTTAATGATGGAACAACGCAACCAAATGCTACGCGAACTTAGACTGAACAAAAAAGAAACACTCGGGATGGTAAATATTACGACCAATGAATTTCTATCTTAAACCACATGTGCATATATCACTAAAGTTTTGTGTGTCTCTAAGAAAAGTGTGTGCGCTGTAAAAGCTAATTTGTTTCGTCAAAATTTCGTGGCTTAATATATTTGTAGCTTTATTGTTATATAACTAACATTATGTTTGTCTGTCGTTGCCAACACAGATGCAAAATTTGGTGGACTATCATGAACCAAACGCCGAAGAGAAGTTACCTCTGGTAAAAAGGATACTTTACCCTCGATCAAGTCCATTTAAATGCATTTTAGCTATAATCGGTGTTGCCATTTAGTTCCTTCATTTTATTACAAACTCTTTCCCAACTACTTCAAGTTTTAATAAATTATCTGTGTGTTAGTGAATTCTCTCTAATCGTTCTTTGCATTATTCATGGCTTTCGGTTTACTAACGAGATGTCTTTTGATGTTCTAACAAACTGTTGTGTGCGTATGGCTTTCTCTATCATTCTATTAATGCATCTCGTTACAATTTTTTCACGTCTTTTTTCTTCAATGCGTGGTCTGAAAGCAAATACTTTGCTTGCTTTAGGTGTTGTATACTTCTATATTTTAAGTTAATTTCTATAACACGTGGTACTGCTTACAATCATTAATTTTACATCTTAATATGCACTATACGTTTCCACAAATTTTCTACACCTTTAACTAAGAATTAATTACTAATAATACTATTTTTAAATTCCAGTGGCCAATGGCAAATTTTTGTATAACAGCACCACGTAGAAAGTGGCACATTTATATTATGTTTTGTTAATGTGTGATTCGAGAACAATCAATGTATTTATTTCTATAATTTTCTGATCCTGGCAAATGATGCTGTACAATATTCACCATTATAGCAACATTTTAAAGGGCTTTATATGTTGATTGGCTTCTTTTATAAATATTTCGTTCGTTTTAAAATATTGGTAATTTTTATTGTTTTATCCAAGTTGTTATTTTTCAATTTATCGTTTGAAGAAAATAGGTTACGGGACATATAAAAGAGCAAAGCTTAATCTGCCTTACAACTACAGGTGCAAGCGATTGTTGACCATCACCATGCCGACGTGAAGACGGCCAGCAAGGTCCGATTCGCGGAACCCGGAACTGGTGAGCCCGGCCCCGAAGATGCTCCTTCACCACCACTGACAGATAATGATGAAAAGGACAAAGACGATAAGGTAATAATCAACACATAAATACGCTTCAAAAGCATGATACTAACAGCCAAGGGCAACTACGATTATGTTATTCTAAGAGAACTGAATCAAAGCAATCTATAATTAACTTTCAGGCATATTTAAATTTAACAAATATTGCTATCTAACTATATAATTGCTACGTTAATATGTATATAAATGCAATAAGTGTTTTTGATTTTGTTGTTTTTGAGTATAAACATCCATGTCTCTTCGTAAGATGAGCTAAACCAATAGTTCTTTCATACTTTAATTTGAAATGCTAGCAATTTAATGTTAATGCTATTATCTCATTTCAGTTTAGTTTTAATATTCACAGTTTTATCGCTACTTTAAATGTGTAATATGCTGTTTCCACATTAAGTTTTATTCACAATTTGATATTTAAAAATATCTAACTATAGTTCACGTTAAATAAATTTAGTTCGGGAGACTAATGTGGAAATGGCTTTCTATTTTAAGATGCTAAATGCACTGTCATGGTCATCTTTTATTTCTTATCTTAATTTACCCGTCATCGTAAGTAATGAGTCCTTGCGAATTTACACACGGTGGTCATATGTTTGCCAATGTTCATTCACTTTGATTTGTTCACATTAGTTCATTTCGGTAGTCACATTAGATAAGAGATTGGATGTTTGAATGTCCGTAGTCGGTCGGTTAACAATCAAAGTAATATATGACATCCCGTGTTTCATTCGCCTTGAATCCGTCATGTGCAACGTCTCGACACGATACCAAAAACAAATTGAAATCGAACGACAATAAACAAAACGATTGGGCAAACATAGGACGAATTCAGAAGTAGTTTGTTGCACATAATCGATTCAATGTGGGACTCGCCCGATGAACAGTCGCAGTGCGAGGGCGCGCCGTCCCCGCCACTCGACGCTGAAAGAAACAAGGAGGCCGGAGCCAACGGGGACGTCCTCAACTCCAAACCTAACCTCCCTAACATTACACCGTAAGTCTTCTTATTTTTTAATCAGAGAAGAAAATGTTTAAAGTCATAACTATCATATATGTGCAATATTCTTAATACAAAAAATTTTTACTTCAGTGATTTGAGCGTTTAAAAACTTTGAAATGAATAATTTATTTCTTCTTCATAAGCATATATCGTTATTTGACACTGGAGTACCAAGCGGAAGTTTCCTGATGTTAAAGTTTTTTTTAGATTTTTTTTTAAAAATATGTTATTGCTTATGGTAGTGACGAAGGTACGGTGAGGAAGATGCACACGGCGGTGAAGCTGAACGAAGTGATAGTGTCGCGGTCCCACGACGCACAACTAGTGATACTCAACCTGCCTGGCCCGCCCAGAGACACCGAGCTAGAAATGGAATCCAACTGTAAATTTTATATTTTTTTATAATTATCTACTTCACGTCTATTTTATTGTTGCCTTGAAAACTTTTCTCTTATCAATATCAACGCTAATTTTGATTCTTTTATTAATATGTATGAGGATTTACATATTTTATGTTTAAATTAATACGCATATTTGGAAGTTAGTATTCCGTAATATAAAATGATCCGGCCTCATCCATCCACTGCCGGTTATATGATTCTTCCTTTAAGAGTTGTTCTTTTCCAGACATGGAATTCCTGGAAGTGCTGACGGAGGGTCTGGAGAAGGTATTGATGGTGCGCGGCGGCGGGCGCGAGGTCATCACCATCTACTCGTGAACGCGAAGCGCAACTCAACACACAAATTATGGCAATACTAAATTAATCTTAATCGATAAAAATCGATCTAAATATCGATTACGCAAATAGGCGTCTCTACTGTAATAGCTCTTTGTGATTATTTAAAATTAACAACAATTCTGTTATTAAACATTTATTTAGGGCATTGCTCACGAAAGACTAGAAAATTATTATGTTCGTATTTGTTTTTAGACACGTCTCTTTACAAGATCAAATGACATACGTTTGATTCTTAAGTGTTAGATTAAATCTAAATTTTGTTGAATTTGGAGCTTAGAATGATAATTTTTTAAATTTATTCAATGTTGTATAGATTATGTATGAGTATTTCGTATGAATCTAATGAGCCTTAACTAGACGTTAACTCTACTTTCGTTTGTTACATAGTGTAGCTAAGTACACTCGGTAGTCACTTTGTTACGGTACGTGTCATATCGTTTTTAATTTTATGGTTGTTACAAACATATTTACTTATCTAAAAAATTGACTTTACTTTTATTTTCTATACATATTAAAAAAAAACGTAGTCACTTTGTAATCGTATACAAGACCGTAAACAATTTTATCTATAACGTATTTTGTAAATAGATATTCTGTTCTAAGATTTTACATCTGCTCAACTTAAAACTTACCATGGGACTGAAGATTCAAATTTATATATTTAATTCCTTATATTCTGGTAAATGTAGAGATGAATGAATTAAACGTAATGTCTAGTCACTTGCTGCATTTGCCGTGAGCAGGCGGAGAAAGCTGAATCAAATACAATTGGGCATTTTTAATCTTTATCGGATTAATATTTAATTAATTCAATTTTATTCAAAATAAGCGTGGTTTCCTCATGGGATCACTGTATGGTTTTATGGTGAGTGGATTCAAATTTATCTACTGAATTTTGAAATATTGAAATCTTTGCTGCGAGGTGGTAAATAAGAATTACCATCTGGTGTTTAGGATATCTATCGTGTTAGATAAATCTTGTGGCAACATACCGTTAGTGTCTAAACTTATAAACTTATTACGCACATTCGCGTAGATAGATTATTTCTTACTGTGATGCTTTATATTTAACGTTATGGTCATCAGAACTTTTACTATATTTTCACTGTTGGAGTAAAGTTAGGTGCGAGTGGTGTGATTTTATTAGTACTTGGTAGCGCCCTTTCGTAAGTACTATAAACATACGCACGAAGGAGACGCTTGTGAAATTTTAAAACGTTTAAAATTACGACACAATTCAATATGATTAAGTTCGGATGTTGTCAGATGTGTCGTGCACTGAAATTATAAGTAAGAGTAGACGATTCCTAGAAATTATATAATTAAATATATTTCTTCTGAATAAAGTATCAATGATGCTGTAGATACTATGAAAAACATTTTACATTGAACTAACAACAGTCTTAATATATACTTTTATTTAAAAAGGATAAAGCGTTTAAAAACTCATATTAATTGTATTATCTGTTTACGCCGTGTGTCAAATAATTTTGAACTCAAGTTTTAAGCGATCCTCGTATGGATGGACCCTTCAAATCAAAACTATTCGTCAATTTTAATTTGTATAACTCCGTATTTAACAATAATTATACATTCTATATATAAAGTTAGGTAACTGCCAAATAGGAGTCGATGTCTTATTATCCTAGTCCTTAAGAGGTTAGCAATTAATTCTAAACAATTTCATGGTTCAAAATTTCATATTCCTAGGAGATTAGATCAAGTAATAAATAGTCATAAGAAATCTAATGCATGATATCACTTTTGATTATTAATAGTTAGAGAAAATAGTGTCGTAGTTTCAGCATTTGAAGTGTTGACAAAATGTTTTACGCTCTCCCGGATCATATATTTAAGACGAGTTAGAATTCTTAACGTTGTCTTAAAGTTAAAGCTGGATTTGACTCTCGTCACAGTTTCCGATCTGTGGATTATAATAAGATAGCATTCTAAATGGAAAGCATTCCAACTTACAATCTGCTCTGTAAACTCCGTTGTATTCGATTTCTCGCTCGAAAACTGCCGTTTATTTTTCACTATAAACTTATTCGTGATACTTTTTGTGATCTTCAAAAAGTTAAATCATTCAACTTAAGTGAACTTTACTTAATAAAATTAAGTCTAAATGATTCTAAATATTAAAATGATAGTAGGGCTGTTTTAAAATACATAAACTTTTAATGATCATCACTTAGTGATATAAAAAAGTATATTACATAATATATTTACTTTGAAATAGAAAATTACCATATATAAAAAAAACTTGATTTCTAAAATATTTATGTCTATCAATAGGCAGTTAAAGTTATTCTATTTCAGTAAAATATGTTAAATGAAGCTAAAATGCTATCCTGCCAGAGTGTACCTATGACACACAATTTTTCATTTCACGAAAGTACAAGAAATAGTATTTAAAACAGATATCACTCAACTAAAAAAAAAGTTTTAATCTATTATATTATTTTTAAGTCGAACAAATATATGTTTGCAGAGCCGTAGCTATAATTTAACTTTATGAAATAAATTGTAAGGTAGCAGATCAGTTTCGTATTGTTTTTGTCTTTAACGAACAATTTCTAATATTAAATGTATTAACTTTTATGCCGATATAATGTTTGCTTTTAATTTTATGCATAATATGAAACAAAATCGAACGTCACGTATAATGTGCCAAAACTTGTCTTCAAAAGTCGTATTACGCTGAGGCAATACTAATAAACCTAGGTTAGTCTACCTTAGTAGATTTAACAAAGAGGTTAATTAAAACAAATTCATTAAAGTATGTATCTTATAAGAATGTATCTATTCACATTAATAGATTTTCAAAATTACATTGTGTGTTATAATTGTCACTTTAAAAGTAATTAAATAGTTACAAATCATGAAAATGCACATAACTTTTCTTCGAATAACTAAAATCGTTATTTCAAATTATTAATTGTTAATGATAAATTTATTATATAAATTCAATCTTAAATTTACCAGTTCAAGTTTTAGGCTGCGATTCAGCCTAAGCACAATCAATAAAAATAAATGTTATTCAGGCTAGAATTGCTGTGATACACGATTTGGCTATAAAATATTATTATCTTCGGCGACTACCATGAATAAGAATTGAATGAAATTGTTTTAATTTTATTGCATATACACACAAATAACGTCTTTCATTGGGCGGCAAATTCAAATTAAGAACGTTCGGAGTTTTCAACACAACAAAAGCGTTTTTGTTTCCAATTGTTATTTTTTTATACATAGATAAAATAAACACTCGAGTTCAATTAAATATTGATAAAACGAATGATCTTTGGTGATTCTTGTATTATTTACATATACTATATAATAATCTGGATAGAGACTTTATTGGAAAAGTATTTTGAATTGTGAAAATCAGTTATAATTATTTAAAATAATCAAATAATAATTCTAGTAAATTAGTGAGTTAATATAAGAGATGTTATGAGTATAATAAAATAAATTAATTATAAATTATGTGTTTTTTTAGCATATGCAAGACCTTCTTAACCATAACCATAACCCGGGTGCTAAATTAGTCTGATGTCCCTAAAAGTAGTCCATTGGCTAGAGCCCCAGGACCAGAAGCACGGGCGCCTTCTTCCCTTTCAAATTCCTCTTTACTTAAAAGTTTAAATAAAACACAAAATTTAAACTAATACATATATTTCTCCAAGTAATGTTCCTCAAAGAAGACTAGAAAAATATTTATACTAAAATATTCCAATAAATCTATAATATATCACAATTTATAAATGTATAGATAATCACAAAGTTATTTTTTACTTTTTTCTTATCAACTAAAGTAAATAACCTTATTGTCATATGTATATCATTTTTAAGTATCTTTATTGTTGAATTAACAGGGTATGGCATTTTCAATGCTCTGCTTAATATACTTTTTCAAACCTGGCTTATCATGTAATGTGTATAATTGACTAAGCTGAGAATACTTCAAACCTACAACTTTCATTCCTAATATATGTAAATGTTTGACTCTCATCATTTGAGGTCCAATAAGAGTTTTGTCATCGGAACAATAATGATCTGGCAGAAATACTAAAACTGCTGTAAGTTTGTTCTTTATACATTTCGATTTCCAATCGGTAAAATGATTTCCAAAATCAATTGGATGTATCATAACATCTATTAAATATGTTTGATCCGAGCAAAAATTTGGTAGCAAAACACCATTAGATATTTTCATTGATTCTCCAAGTATAGATAAAAAGGTTTCATTTATTTTTTCTAAAATGCTCTGAACCCTTTTATCTTGTTCGATAGGTTTAAGCCAATGATCTTTAGGTAGTAAGGGTCCTGGGTACTCTTTAGTTTCCAAAGACAAAGCAGTATCAATTAATTGAAGCCTATTCATTATATCTTGGTTACTTATTTTTGTTAAATATTCAGAACTAAACATTCTATTAACTAATTGAAATGGATATTCACCAATATAAATGAATGAAAGAGCAATATTTGATAAATCATCAGCATTCATTTTGTCAAATTTCATAATCAAGTTCTTTTCAATAAGAGTCCAAAATTCTTTACAGTCAGGTCTAAAGTTCAAATATCCACATGGATATATACAGCACTTTAGAAAACTTGCTGGTATTATATTTATATTATTTATTAAGTAATTTCCACATACATTTAATATATTTTCATTACGAATTTTAAATTGCATGCAATAATTTAAAATGGCAACGATTAATACATGGGACTTAATTTTGCTCTCTTTATGTCTCATGTACCTCTCTACAGCTTTTTCAACTTGATCATCGGTATAGTTTAATCGGGTAAGCTTTGTAATTATGTCTAGTAAAGTGTCTTCATCCAAAACATGAATGTTTCTGCTAAACCAACTTCCAACTATTGCAAAGGACTGCAGCGAGAAATATTTCACTTGGAGAAAAATATCCAAAATATCTTGCATAGATGATACCTTTATTTTATACCAAAAGTCAGACAATTTCTGTTCTAGCAATACAATTATAGTTCTCTTACTTGATTTCAACCCAGGCAAAATTTTAAATAAAAATTCAATATTTGTTTCATCAATTTGATCCTCCTTTTCTATAAATCCAACCCACATTTTATCAATTGTTTCTGAATATTTGGGATCTACATTGTTTTTTATTAAATATCTTGTAAAATTGCAAATTTGATCCAGAGTTAGTTTGTTGTCAATAACTCTGTTAAGTACTTCATCACAAAATTTGTGTTTATAGGGTTGTAATAGTAAGGAATCTGTTTTCAAAATGTTAAGTATAGTATTTGTATCTTCAGTTTTAATGACGACTCTTAATAATTTTTCCAGAATTGCACCCTTTGCATCACTGATATAGTCAGGTTTTAAGTCCACAACCACAGGCATTGTAGTCATTTCCAGATCATAAATTCGTTCTATTGCAGCTAATGCAATGTTTGGAGTAATTTTGCTACACTTGGTTATTAAGGAAAATACATCGCGTAAATCAGCACATTGCTTAAATTCGGCTTGAATTAAATGGTAGTTAAGAGAGTCGGAATTAGTGTGTGATGGTTCCAATTTACGACCATTTTCGAAATCACCGATATCCTTAAGTTTTCTTATAACTATTGGTAGTTCTTGAACATTGTAACCATTCTCTATTAGGATAGTGGTATGAGTAAAATCGTGGTTATTCAACTTGTCGTCGCTAAAACTGCGATTACCGATGGTTAAAACATTATTGTTTGAACAATTAGTGTTACCGCAAATCTGTACACTATTTCTGAACTTTATATACGACCGACGAAAAACTAAAGACATTGTAATTAAAATAAAAAGCAAAATAACAAAATTAAACTAATTCACATTGGTTAATCATTTAATAATCCATTTACTTTGTTTGTCGTCGTTTCTTTTCTCACAATCATAACAAAATGTCACTGTCACTGCCATGTCAGTCAATTGTCTTTTTTTTTTTAATTTTATGACCTGGTAACATAGACCTTTAGGTCATATCTTATTTGGGAAATTCAAATACAACAAAGAGCATATAGGGTGGATCACAGGCAATTGCCGCCCAGAGTAAAATTATGGTCCAAATAAGGAAAGGGGCCTATGCCCAGCAGTGGTTGTTTCGTGGATGAACATGATCAAGAAGCAAAAACACATTTATTTGAGTCCTTATAGGAATTAGTTGAGAATGTCAGTTCGTTGGACCTAATTGTTTTGGTTTTGATCTTTGCAAGTTATAAATTTATGATTGTCTATTGTCAGATGTGTCAATTCAAAAACATCATTTCACTTTGACATTGACTTCACTTGTCACTTATCAATGACAAGTTGTCATTGGATCTCGTCCCGTGATCGTGCATGATGCAGTGATCGTTGATCAATCATTTTTGTATAATTTGCTAACAAGTCTCCGTGATGACTTTATTTGTTAGCGGTTTTCAATTTAACTTCCATTTTATATCAGCATTTTCTTATTGAATCCAGTGTAACGTTGTATTCAAAAAAAATTGTCGATATTATCCATTCCAATAAGGACTTAGATTTTGTTTATAACGTATATTGTAACTAAATAAAGCCATTTTTACACAGCCGTAAAGTGTTGTGATAAATTGGGACCAAAAAGAAACAGGAATCAAATGTAAGTACCAACCCAGTAACATTTTTTCAGAAAACAAATGTTTTTATTACTAAAAATTTTGTACAAATTGATATTCATAGAAATGGTTTAAATAATAAATTATGTCTCTGTTTTTATTTATCACCTAACTAATCCTCATCGAATCTAAGTAAATTATAAAATAGTTTTTTGTAAAGGTTGTTTACTATTCAGTAACATAACATTTAATACTATGATAAAAAAAAATCAAGGATAAAGTATTTTTCTGTTTGCAATAGCTTAAGATAAAAAAAACATATATTTTCAACAGATTACCTATCTTTTTTCATGCAGTGCAATAATCTAATATTTATCAAGATAAGATATGAGAAAATAATAAATTTAAATGTATTCATATTTGGTCTGATTTTTTAAATGAATAAAAATTTATAGACCTTTTTATTAGAGCAGAATTAGTACAGTAGTAACATTTCATCATCATCAAATCAATTTTATTTGTAGAATGTTGAACAGGATGTGGATTTATATTTGTTTAAGAGTCTTTAAACTTTCACAATAAAAAATTATTACATCCAATGGATAAAAAAGTATTTATATCTTTTAATTTTTAATGTATTGTATCCAAACTTGAAAAGTAATTTAATAATGACAATTGTTTGCATGTTACATATTTTTCAGATGACTTTAACATTAAATTGGGGCATAGCTGGTGTTGGCATGATAAGCCATGACTTTTTAACTGCCATGTCTAATTTGCCAAGTGATCAACACAAGGTTGTTGCTATTGCTGGCAAAGATCTGAGCCGTGCACACAGATTGGCAATGCTACACAATATCAATACTGCATATGAAGGTTACGAAATGCTTGCAAATGACAGTTCTATTGGTAATTATCTCTAATAACTCTAGCAATTGTTCCATTTGTAAACAAACTGCTTTATTAGCTATACTGATGTTATGTTCTTTTTATTGCTTCGTTAAAATCTTTAAACTATTATGCTCTTGGTTACTATTTTTAATGACTTTGTTTTTAAATTTGATGATTTTGTAAATTCCTTAAATCATTAATGTTCATAGCTATATTTTATGGTATTTTGAGCTTTTTGTCTTTTCTCATAGACCAATATAACTTGCAATTAACTTATTAGTTTTATACTTTAAGAAAAATAAAATTTAAGAGTGCCACAAACGTACCATTCCCACATTCATAATCTCTGCTTACACTTTTTGACTATATACTTAATTGTATTATGAAATCTTTTGTGAAAGTTTCATACAAATATTTAATAAATTTACCCTTTAAATATATAATTATATCATAAATTACTTGTAAAATGTTACGGAGCTATAAATAATTGAAGAGAAGGTCGTGATAATAAATATGCTCACATATATCAAGTGAAATTGATTGCGGTGCTCTTTATCTTTGATGACCTTTTCAGACTTTCTTATAATTCCAGTTTGTAATTATTATTTATTACCTTTTACAAAATATGGCTGCAAAATATACATTTATTTTAGTATTTCATACTTACGTATTCATCAAATGTTTTGATGCAATCATTTTCTGCTTATTGATTGGTTGTTAGCTTTTTTATACTAATTTTTTTAAAAACTGTAGTTGTACTGATAGTTTGACAAATAAATAAAAATGTTATGAAACAATACATCAAGGAAAATCATACAAATATTAAAATTCGTTTACAGACATCGTTTTCGTCAGTGTCATGAATTTACAGCATTATGACGTAGCTAAGTTAATGTTAGAGAATGGTAAACATGTACTCTGCGAAAAGCCAATGGGCATGACGTACAAACAGACGAAGTCTTTGGCGGATCTGGCGCGGGAAAAGAAACTATTTCTTCTCGAAGGGATGTGGTCGAGGTTCTTTCCTGCTTATGATGCTTTGGATAAACACATCGCCTCCGGCGGGCTTGGGGATGTCTATCATGTAAACATACAATTCGGGGTCGAAATTAACGACATTGAAAGGAATTTGTAAGATATTTTCATACACCTCGCTTCTATTCACCTCTACACAGACTTCAGTTATTATTAGAGCTGCAATCTTAGTTCGCATTTTCCTGTTGATATTTACTAAGAGTAATATTTCCTTATATGAATTTATATACTTTACCTTGGGTTTCTGAGACCAAAATCTCCACTTAAAACATATTGTTATCTTTATTTCGTTAATATATCTAATCGTTACCATCTACGGTTAATATCGTGTGTTAATATGTAAAACAGAACTAGTATAGAACATAGATGTTTTTTGTGAATAAAATCTACTTTTATTTTAGTAACCGTATTACATAGTCTCAGCTCTATTAATAACATCATACCATCTGCGCTTTATTATTCCCGTATTGCCATACTTCTGCTTTAAACGCCGTAATATTCCAGAATGAAAGACTTGGGCGGCGGAGCGGTAATGGACTTAGGTTTATACATGTTGCAACTGGTGCAATTCGTGTACAAAGAGCCGCCAACCGACATCATGTGCACGGGTCACTTGAGCAAGGCTGGCGTCGACGAATCGCTCTCCTGCGCTCTTAAGTACAAGGGCGGCAGGACTGCGACGATATCGGCGCACACCCGCGCCACCATGACTAACAGAGCCGAGATCACGGGGACCAAGGGTACTATTGCGGTTAGTAGTACCCTATAGTCTTGCTTGTCCAGCCTAACTGCCCTCCTGGTACTGGGATAATTTAGGTCCGTTTTGATAAAGAACTGTTTCTGATTTATGTCCCCCTGGTAAAATGGGAACAGCAATCAGAAACAAAGTATAGATGTTTTCAAATATCTTGGAGTGACGGAACATCGTAAAAGTCGCGCAGAAGGTATTATTGCGAACCTCTTTAATTGTGTCGCCGTGATATTTGAAAAGACGACCGAAGTATAAAAAGTATCAAACATTTGATATGAAGCGCTTGTAATCTAGGCAAAGAAGATATGAGCATGTAACTGTAGACTTCTTCAATACATCTTACTATTTTCTTTCTTCGCATGCTATAATAATTTGATAGTTAACTGTTCTGATGTTTTTGCTTTTGCGCAACTAAACTACTAACTTCACCTTGGTGATCGAAGGGGTACGAGCATAGGCAGAGTATTTTAATTACGCTAACGATATAAATTATAACTCGTAAATATCAATTAAACTTCATTAACTGAAGTATTTCGAACTGTACGATATAAATTGTATTGTTTGTCATTTCAATGGCCATAAAACTAATTTGCGGTATTTTTTACAACCGCACTTTAAATAAAACTGAAAAAGGGAAAAGGATCGATTGATTTCAGGAAAGTTAACGAAAAAAAACATATCGGACAACCGTTAATTGTTCACACTAACTATATTAAAGCAGAAAGATACTCATTTTTATAGAATATCTTGTATTACAGCTTGAGTACTTCTGGTGTCCGACCACGCTGCAGATATCGGCCGCCAACAACACAGAGTGGACGTTGCCCAAAGGCAAATATAGCTACCACTTTCACAACAGCGCTGGTCTCAGCTACCAGATACAGGAGTGCTGGGACTGCTTAGCTAAAGGTTAATCTTACCTTAATTAAATTTAATAATTTCTCGTAATTCCTAACAAAACAAACAGATTTAAGAGAATAAGGCTAAACACGTAGTATTGTGTTGTTTTTTCTTTATTCAGAAATAGCTGTCGCACGCGGCTCCGTCCGCGCGGAATTAACTTGATAAGTAGCCCGTGTATTCTTCCAGACTATAATGTGCCATATTTCATCAAGATCCGTTGAGCCGTTCCGGAGATTCATCTCAAATTCCAACTAATTAAACTTTCTAATTTATAATATTACTAAGATTAAATATGTAAAGAAATGTATTATTACAGGTTTACTGGAAAGTCCTAAAATGTCATTGGACGAGAGTATTCTATTTTCAAAGTTAACGGACACGATGCGGGCACAATTAGGAGTACTAGATGTAGGTCTATAACACTAACGATCAATCTCCACTCGTAGTACCTGTATTATAACAATATTGCTATCTCTCTCCGTCTCTGTGAATAAAACAGAGACACCAATAGTGTTGTAATACAAGTATCACAATATTTGAGATTCGCGGGCACAAAAGCTTATTTCGCCAGTACTAGTTTATAATTCATCCAGTATTTTAGAGGCTTTTTTCAGCGACACGCAACAAAGCTAACGATTATGTACAGATGTATTTACCTCAACTAACTGTGATTTATATAGTGTTGTGACATAATATTATTAAGTATATGTTATTCTATATTTAAACAGTATTTATTGTATTCACATTTTCTGATTAATAAACACTTACAACTAATTGTTGTTTTATTACAAACTAGCTAGTGACTTCGTCGGCGCGGATAGAAAAAAAATAATTAGAAACCTATGTGTTCTTTCTAGTCTGTGTTCTACATCTATGTCAAATTACAGCGAGATCCATGCAGCTGTTCTGGAGATTCCTTTTAACAAACATCCATCCATCTATGTATCCAAACATTTGCATTTATAAAATTAGTAAGATAAATATTTATCTTTAAGATTAATTAATTGTCGCAGAATTTTATGAAAACTGTATTTAATAGGATTTTACATATAAATATAAAACTTAATCTAAGTTAAATATGGGGGTAAGGCTTAAACATGCTGACTGGAAATGAAATGTCTCAAAATAATACAGACTCAAAAATTAACATATTTTTTGTATTTTATATTAAATCAATATTAATGCAATAAAAACCATGTAACTTTTGTTTTCAATTTATCGATAAAAAAATAACTGTTAAGAACAGACTAGGCAATATAGTGTTTATAAGTTCAACCCGGAATATCAAGTTCCGAAACTAAAACGATTATACGATGGCCCTGGACTTTTAAATAAGGAATTTATTATACTAGGGGGCCCTTTATGTTCATGCAAGAATTTATGTATGCTCTTTGGTACTAAATTACATCTAATATTTATCATACGTACAAACTTATCGACATGTTTCATTGATTGATTTTAAATACTTAATTGAATTTAAATACTCAATACTGGCAACATTCATTTCACGCGGATTCTTTATAGATTAAGTGGCCATAGACTAAGCAACGAAGAACACATATCTGTTTACCGCAACAATTCCGGAAGCTTGGGGTCGCGGGCTGAGGAATTACCATATGCTATTGGGAATGAATTTACTTCTTGAAGTCTTCGAGTACTTTCTGAATGATGCTTGCTCCCTCGCGGATCTGTTGCTCTGTGATAACGAGTGGCGGCGCGAGGCGGATGGTTTGCCCGTGAGTTGGCTTCGTGATCAAGCCCGCGTCGCGCAGTCGCTTGCACACCTCGTATGCTGGAATACCTGAGACGAAGTTTCGATATTGTGAGTTTCCATTGCTGATATACATGTTCAAAAACATACGGTTATCCCTCTTATTTTCTTCCTGAATTCACCGAAATACCGAAACGACCGCTACCCATAGACATCCGCAATAGCTTTGCTCTTCCCATACATCCCCTGCTAAGTTAAAAAGGAAAAGGGAACTAACAACGAAATACGGTCACGGTATTTCACCAGGCGAGGCAATTCGTGCAACTGATGTTGTTGGTGCTGGCGTCTTTCACTGTTAAAAAGCTAAGCCTAACCATAAAAACTTAGACAGTGTTTCTATTGAATATCTTTAAATTTTAAATATGTTATAAGCGGTAGGTAGAACTCACTGTCATCAATGACAATAGCGAACATGAGTCCGCGACCGCGCACCACGTTCACCTTCGACTTGGGGATCTTCTCCAGCTCAGCGCGGAACACCGCCTCAAGGCGCGCCGCATTCTCTATCAATTTTTCCTCTAATAAAACCTAAAACGTGTATTTTGTTTTTAAAAATATATTTTTAGGATATCAAAGATTACAACCTCCGTTGTATTTCGGATTCAAATAAAATCGATTCTGATTGTGTAATGTTTACCTTAATAGCTTCCGTAGCTACAGCGCACGCTAGGGGATTACCACCATAAGTTGACCCGTGCGTTCCTGGTTTGATTACCTAAAAACAATAACAATTATCGAGAAATATTACTTTTACTGTCAAAGAAGCTACTGTTATGTATCAACTTGTAGTGAAAAAACATTCAAAAAACGAAGAAATCATAGCAGCATGGAACGTATTGCTCGTTTATAAAATACTCACATCCATAACATTATTGTTGGCCAGAACTGCGGAGACCGGCAGAACGCCACCGCTGAGCGCTTTGCCCAGGATCAGAATATCTGGCTTCACACCCTCGTGTTCGACAGCTAATAACTTGCCAGTGCGACCTGGGAAATTACAACATTGCCATTAAAAACCCTTCGGATAAAATCAACCTCATATTATGAATAATTTGACACCTTACTACCCAAAATTGTAATTACCTTCCGAAGTCTGTCCGGTAAATACTTTTATAATATTGGAAAAAAAAACATAAAAGTACTCTATACCTAATCCTGTTTGCACCTCGTCGGCGATCCACAGCACGTTGTACTTGGTGCAGAGCGCCCTGACCTTCTGCAGGTATCCAGTGTCCGGGATCACGACGCCAGCCTCGCCTTGGATCGGCTCCACCATGAACGCGGCCACGTTAGGGTCTTGTAGCGTTTTCTGGAATTATTGCATATTTATTTAAAATATATTTTTATTATTATTCGAAAGGTGTTATTATCTCTGTCAAAAGTTTCTAAGTACTTGTAGTTTACTCACCTCTAAGGCGGGGATATCATTGTACGGAATTAGTTCAAAGCATGGCATGTAGGGGCCGAAGCCATCGGAACACGTCGGGTCCGACGAAGAGGACACCGCTGCCAGCGTGCGGCCCCAAAAATTGCCCTCCGCGAATATTATCTGGAAAATAAAATTACATTGCCGCCAACTTAAAATAAACAAACTGCTATTCAAATATTCGAATTCCCCACCCCAATTCTTAACAGTAAACTCAAATTACCTTAGCTTGGTTTTGCGGTATCTTCTTAACCTCATAGCCCCACTTGCGCGCGATCTTGCAAGCGCTCTCGCCGCCCTCCACACCAGTGTTCATAGGCAACAGTCGGTCGTACCCCAGTAACTGCGTCATGAATTTCTCGTACTTACCCAGCTGGTCAGAGTAGAATGCTCTGGAAGTTTAAAACGAATTATTTAATAAACTGCTACTCTCCGTGTCGTTAATACGAAAGGAGCGTCTGGGAGAACTGTGGGAGATTCTGCGTGAGGTAGTTAAACATAGGTGTCATTCTTATGACTGTTAAAGCCATATTCTCAGGGTGAATTCTTATTCACCCTGAGAATATGGCTTTGTAACGTTACTTAGCACTTAATTATTGCGGTAATATTTTTTCAAAATTATTTTAAGCATTAATTACTTTTGCAAACAATGTATTTAATGTTATAAGTAAATTAAAACTATGCTGAAGCATCACCTTAAATGTCTTCACATTTAAATTATCTTTAGTTTAACTCTTTAAATACAAAAGAAAATATTGACTTAAGATTTATTTATTTATTTATTTATTTAAAAACTGCATAGCATCATTACAGTATACAACCAATTTGACACTATACACACTTTACATAACAGTTTACACGATAACATATTTTATAATAACAGTAAATAACATATAACAATGATAAATAAAAAGAAAAAAAAATACATATAATACAGTGCAAGAATATATAAACGCGTAACTAAACATCAATATTCAAACGTCTTCCACACATCTGTGCGCAGCCTCTGTGAATTTCGACTCGCTGCAACTAAATAAATCTATATCTCTAGATATGATATTGAGAAGCCGTATAGCCCGCACTATAGAAGCATTTTCCAATAACTTCGTCCTAGCGGTGGGCTCGAGAAACAATGGCGGGCGGCGGCGCACCTGAACCACGCAGTCAGGGACACGCAGCCGCAGCGCTGCAAGCACGGCTGGCTGGCACACCGCGCCGCGCAGGACGCGCCATACGCCGCGCACGAGGGCCACGTCCCTACGCACTCGCAACGTGCTGTATCCGACCATGCCATTCACAAATAAACTCGGGTACATTAACGGGAAGCAAGGATAAACTCCGTACTGTTTGTAATACAGGAACCGCGTAAACTTATTTTGAATTCTTTCTACCATCAGACTATATTTTTTTTCATGGAGACTCCAAATGGAACTACTCGTTTCTAGACGACTCCTAACTAATGCGTTATATAAAACTTTAATTACCAGCGCATTTTCAAAATTCTTACATTGCCTAATAATAAAACCGAGATTTCTAAACGATTTCCTACAGATATTCGCAATGTGGTTTCGGAAGTTCAATTCCTCGACCATCTCGACTCCCAAATCACGGACGTGAGATACGCGCGGGACGAGGGTCGTATCCAGCACGTAGGGATGGTGCAGTGAAGATATTCCTACTTAAACAAAGTTAGAGATATTTAAAAGGATAATTACAATGTCACGAACGCACATGACTTACATCTTATTTTGTGTTTAAGTTCTATATTTACGTACATTGTCCTAATTCAATTTACAATTTACAAATTGACACGACCAAAATAGTATACTACGCACGACGACCGACATAGAGACACACCCACTAAATACGATTAAAGAATGTTTAATACGAATTTTTACATACCATTTAAATTTTAATAAAGACAAGCTTTGAGCAACTTAAAGCTGTGAGATCATAATGTGACCTAATTACATTGTTCGCCCTAGGTCATCGGCGTACTACGTCATGCCCTATCGCGAAGTAAAGTGCTGCCAAGATATCTGAAAACATTTATACTAACCTGGAGACAAGAGTAAGTTTATTTGCTTGTTCATTAAGCGCCTTTATAATCCTGGGATGACAATGGCCCTGATTGACTGCGGAATAAGCGCTCAAGAAATCATAGTACCGCCTGCCTTCTACATCCCACACGAACGCACCTGGAGATTTGATAACCTTTTAAATTAAAGTTTTCTGTCAAAGTTTCATTATTCATTCAGTAAGTATGTATTGTGTAAATCATCGAGATTTTTTTAATTTTTAATTTGTCGTTGTCATCTATTTTAAATGTTTTAAATATCTTAAACAAAATTTAAATGAAAACAAATACTTAACCTAATTATAGAAATAATAAGCGAAAAATATTTAATTCGATTGTATCGAAATATGATTATACATTTTATTATTATTGCTATAAGACCAAGTTTACATTGAAGCAAAAAACATTAGTTTTATTTTGCTTAGGCAGATAGATTAATTTAATCAAGGTCTTGAACTTCAATAAAAGTTACTATAGGGTTGTTATTACAAATAATAATTTTATCTTATTTCTTAACATGTAAAGTCTATTTATAAATAAAGTTAACATTAATGATGTAATAACACTGTCAAGAAGATAAGTCAAGCCTATATCTCAAAGGTTATGTTTATCTGACTTACGACGCAAACTCTTTTCCTAACGATAAAACTTTTTAGGTATGACTTTAGTAAAGTAAAAGACAATTTGAGTCATCCGCAGATTGCAGGGGAAAGCTAATCATCATAACTAAGTACAACCCTAAGTAATCATGACTAAACAAAGTTAAATCTACTCTTTAAAAAAACCTATTTAACCTAAATTGGAATCTCGTATCTCTTTAATATTGGAATTTCTCAATAAACTCTTATCAAAAAGCAGCCGCAAATGTAATAAAATCAGGGAAACAATATAAATAAAATCGTTGATAAAGGTCGAAAGTCAGTGCATTAAAGATACAATCTAAAAAAATGTTTTGCTTATTTTTTGCATGGAATCAAGATATTTATACACGCCCACTAATAGTGTAATAGTGTTATCATAAAATTAAATAAACGCATGATGAAATATTTTATGCGAGACATATGAAAGATACAAAACAATAAGAAAAATAATTACCGTTAAATTGAATGGTAGACTAAGTGATAACAACTTTACTGACAGCAATAGTCAACTAAAATTTCGTTTACATACATTCCACTCAAGGTACTTAATAAGAGTAATAAAATGGCGACCAACACAGGCTAGAATTGGTATGGAAAGGGATAATTGGATTTTTAGGGGCGAAAGAAATGCTATGGGAAAAAGAGGTACTTAAAATAAACTTTGTAGCAAATTTACAGCTCTATAATTTTCCGAGAACCTAGTTAACGTGATCGCAACTACGTATTCGGGAAACACCCCTTTGGGAATACCAAAAATACACATTTCGACTGTTTTAAAACTATTTTATGAAAACATGTACAACACAACTTGCATGCCTGTTCCTTGCAATCTTCTATGAACTCACCTTCACCACGAGTCAAGGCAACTTGCAAAGGCGCGTAGTTGCGACAACCATACTTGTCTTCCAAAGCGAAGATTTCCTCTGACGAAAGCTTGTTCTGAGCCATGACCTTAAACATGGAAAACACATCATTCCTACTATAAATACGTCTGCTGCCGTGTATTTACCCAAAATTTACGTGACAAAATAACAGAATTAAAGAAAAAAGGTGGACATTTTGACTTGGGAAAAACAAAACGCAATAATGTATTATAGCAACCTGACCGTTAATTTTAAAATTTAAAAATTAATTTTAATAGACTCCGGATAAAGTGAGAAAATTCCAACACGTATACTACAACAAGGAATTCGAAAACAAAACTTACTTGCGCCTTATTCAGACAAAGATATGAAATGCAATGAAATTAAATCATACAGAATCTTATATAGCAACCTTCGCTGATAAGACTTATGCAAGTAAATATGTTTAAGATTTATACACCCGTGCTTTACTATTTATTGTAGGTTCCACGAAGGCTCAAACATACAAACATATTTCATAATCATCGTCCAAGAAGCACGACTAGTTTATCAGAGTCTATGTTTATTTACATTGCATATTATCCGGCATACGGTTATCAAATTAGAAAAAAGTTTCACACCAAGCCTACATTATTTCGTTTTTAAAATCATACCGAACCAATATTACAATAATAAATAAATAATATTCTGACCTTTAATTTATTTGTTTGATAATGTGTCTATTTTCAAACCGATTTCTGTGTAATCGCGTCTAAAATTAACCAGCAACGGTGGCGTTGACCGTCTAGCACGAGACAATATAAATGACTGGGCGTCGGAAAAAAAATTCCACGACTCATACACCAACTCCCTGTATTGATAATTACGTCACGCAATCTCCGAGACCCTTATTAACATCATTCGATGCGACTAATAACAAGATCGACCGGAATTTTCCGAATTGCCTTAGAGACAGATGTATATGACGCAATGTTAAAGAAATTAACAATCCGAATCCCAGACGTTCATTTATGATTGTTACTTAAAACAATATTTATCAACCGTCTGGTATTTTATGAATTCCGTGAAAATGATACGTAAATTCGAAGTTACATCTTTTAATACCAGGAATCTTAGAATTATCAAATCTTCATTCTTTATATAAACAATTTAATTTATGTTATTGAAAAACAATCTTTTCAGCAGCGTCAAAAACAAAAAATGCGGATGTGAAATGCAAAGCGAGAATAACAATCCTCATTATGTGGTTTTATCTTTGGGTCAACAACACAACTAGCGTCCGATACCCTAAAAGGTAAGCAGAGACCGTAGACATCCATTTGGAGTTTAAATTTTAATATTCAATTCATTCTTTCAGTGTATGGACTACCATGTTTGAGGGAAATTTTATATTTAACGAAAATATTTAAAGAAATACACAACAACCGTACTAAAACTTTTTTTTACTTTTGATATTTAACAAGAGTCATGTGGTTTGTTCAACACTTAAGACCCTTCGTATATAAGGCAATGTTAATCTCAGATACCCGGCGATTTTAGTCGTTAAGCGACTAACGCATTACAACGTTAAAGAGCTTCGTACACAGTGAGCGTCGCTGACATTTCGATCTGTCATCGCCAAAGATAATCGCTTGCAACCTGTTTGTCAATATCGTTGTGAGAAAAGTTACCACAATGTACGGCGGAGCAAAATTCGGTACTGACCCAATAGACAACTCGCGTCGACGATTTCCGTTGCCTTGTATATTTGCGCCATCTTGGAAAACCCTGCGACTTTTCTTATGACGATCTTCATAGTATTACTATTTCAAGTTAAAATAAACTAGTGGATTTTACAATAAAACAAAAAAAACAATTTCAATATTATCTATTCATTTTAACATAATCACTTCCTTTTAAATATTAAACTAAAATTCTAACATAATTAATCTGTACATTTAAATTCATTTTTTCCTATATTCATTGTCAGGGTCTCCTCCATAGTAATCTGAATATGTGGGAAATGATTGTGCACCTCTTTCTGGGGTTATGGGCAATGAACCTCCATCTAACAACCTTTTAGCTTCTATTTTTGCTGCATTCTCTTGCTTCAGCTTGGCAATAGCTAGATTGTGTTTGATTTCCTCTTCTGTTGGAGGATCTTGTCTAAAATAAAATAAAAAATCTATTATTTTTGCACATTTGATATCTTTTGCTATCATGACCACTAAAGGTATTTATAAAATTAATAACAGTAGCAAATTAATAACAGTAATAACGGATGAAAACATTATTTCTAATATTTTTTTTTACAACAAGTATAATTTATATATTAATTACCTTCTCATTCTTAACCATGATTCCCATTCTGCTGGTATTGGATCTTGAAAATCATTTCCCTTTGGTGGATCATACCAACGGCAAGGCTTTCTTTTACCTCTGCTGGGATCTGCAGGTATTTCATAATAAATATTTCCTGCATAATCTTTACCTGTAAAATGCCAACAAGAACAAAATCAACTTAATATCAACTTATGTTACTATTTCATAAATAACTATAATCTATATTTAAGTCTAATCCCATTTTTGTGATGTTGCCAAGCATGAGCCAATATGTAGTATCACATACATAAGTGTTTTATGTATTAAAATAAACTAGCTGGCCTAATCAGCTCTCAACCAATTCAAAGTTCAGGTCACATAGACTTGAACAGTTAAACTATGGCTCAATAAATTGGTAAATCAAGGCACATAACAGCAGTTCGCAAATAATAGAGTTATGCAGTTGAAGTTCAGCTCAATTTGTACCTGCAACTCTATGCCGGTTTGCTAATGTGCTGGACACATGCGAACTGTGAACTAATCTGCTGTTCATCAATTTCAGCTGAGTTGCCCATGAGTAGAGATAATAAATTAATTAGGTAATTGGAAGAGCCTAAATCTAGCAGTAGACGATCATTGGAAGCTACTTGCCCATATGATTCCCTCTAAATGGCCGCGGTTTCAAAGAATTTATAAAATTTTGGACGACTATTCGCCAAAGATGTCGATGCGGGCCGTTAGACATCTAAAACAAAATCTTTTATTAAAATTAAGGAATTAATTAAGTGTACAGCTAAGGATCTTACTTGACAACTACCTTACATTTAATTTATCCTCTTGTGTAAAGAATCTTACCTATAATCCCTTCAGATATTACAGTTTCTTTACAATTAAACAAATTATCTAATTTTTGTAAATTTGGGACTCAAAGACAATGTCAAAAGAATTGATATTGAAAACAATGTCAATGTCATCATGACGTTGGCACTTAAGGATTATAAATGAAATTGTATTGCTTTTGTGAAATGTCAAAAAGATGAATGAATTTGCAACATTCATAATAAAATTTAAAAGCATAATTTTTTATTTCATTACAAGTGAAAAATCCATATTTCAATTGGATCATAAATACTGTGGACCATATTGACCATCAAGCAAGTACAAAAAGTGCAGCCTTTATAACAGCTTGACACTTGAGTAAATGTGTTCTGTGGCTTGACAGCATCACTGATCACTTTTTGCTGCATCTCGGAAGTGATTCTATAATTTACATATTTTGTACTAACACAAAACTTTTATTTTTCAATTAGTGCATTAATTTCTAGTGTTGTTGAGTAAATTATTATCCTTCACAATGGCGAAAATGGCATTTCAGCACCAAGCCGGAACGGCTATGGAATGTCTTAGTGTAAGTTGTAAGACCACTCCCAAATGTTTTGTTTTTACCTGATTTTAACGTTTTTACCTTAATTCTAATGAAACTTGCTCATCATTATCTTAACAGATACCAATAACACTTCAAAAAGAAGCTGGTGTTGACGCAGAAGGCAGGGAAGTTATGAAATGTGGGTTTAAAATAGGTGGAGGAATTGATCAAGATTATCGCAAAAGCCCACAAGGGTATACTGATAACGTGAGTACTAGCAATGTATTATACATATAAACAGAAAAAAATATGTTTGAAGCTGTTTTTTATGTTGAAATTAAACAAACATTCTTTGTTATTTTTTTTTTAATTGTGCCAAAAAGGATAAAAGATTAAACATTTGTGATAATGGTTATATCTCCAATTTTGTATGGACATACATTTTTTTAATATATTAAAGGTTTTAACTTTGGTCCGTAATTTGCAATCTTCTTTGAATCCCTCTCTTGTTGCAGTCAATGTTAGCCATAGCCAAAAGGAAAGAGTATCTTAAAGATTGCCCCTGACACCAAACCAAAAAAAGCAAACTATTACTACTATTCTTATTATTTCAGGGTATCTATGTGACTGAAGTTCATGAAGGGAGTCCGGCAGCTAAATCTGGATTGAGGATGCATGACAAAATCTTGCAATGCAATGGATATGACTTTACCATGGTAACACACAAGAAGGCTGTCAGCTATATAAAGAAGCATCCAGTTCTAAACCTTCTTGTTGCTAGAAAAGGTGTAACATCTACATAACTGTTACATAGCTTTTGTAACAAAAGTATATTTTATTAATTTTGATCAAGTGTTTTGAAAGAAAGTATTTAAAAATCAAATGATTTTATAATGTTATTTATTTTTAGAGTATTTTTAGCTTTAGGTTTATTAATTAATTTATTAAGTAACACAATTCATTTTCTTACAATTACTCTAAATACTTTGGGGTTATGATATTCAATATATTTAAAATTTCTAGTTCCAAATTTATTTAAACATAATTTTAAAATACTTGTGCTCAATATGTAACACTGGTCTTCGTTTATTATGATTTTTTTTTAACCCCAATGGATAAAGAAGTGTTGAGATATAAAAAAACAAATATGAGGAAAGTTACCAGTGTTTATAATGCAACAAATAATTTTAATCATATGAGTTAAATATATTTGATATTGTTAATTAAGTGACATTGTGGATAGTAATTTGTTATTAGTTGATTATAATAAATATTGTTCGGTAATGTAAGGGTTTCTTCATACAATATATTATAAGCCCTGTATTAACATGCAGCAGATAAATGTTAGTATAAATCAATGTTTATATATATAACATACGTCGCCCACGACTCCGTCTGCGCGGTATTAAATATAGATAGCCAATTCTCAGACCAACTGAATATGGATATAAAATTTCATAAAAACTGGTCAAGCCGTTTCGAAGGGGTATGATAACTAATATTGTGACATGAGAATTTTATCTATAATATTGCATTTCCGCTCTCTCTTTTTTAATTAATCAATAAATATATTTATCAGTGTCAACAAGCTTAACAACTATCAGACATTACTCAAAAACATTTCCACATTAATAAGTGTAAGTGATAAAAAGATAATCCAGAGATAAATGTCATGTGCCAAATATCTATATAAGAAATGTTAAATTTTTTATTCAACATTTGCTTTATCATTCTGCATATTACCGAATGTACAAGAGGAAAGTCAAATTAAGCAATTAATATTACAGTATAAAAATCAGTGTGAATTATACAAGGCTGATTATATCACAAATGTTTTTTATGTAATGTTTAAATATAAGAAAACTGATTTTCTTTGTCAACTTAATTATAAATTTCGTACAAAATTACCTTGGCTTCTATATAATAATTTTATACAAATTGTATACAATACTGTTCCTGAATGCTTGATACTCATTTATTCAATGTTTTATAGGATTTTTTGTCATTTTAAAAAATTACTTGCCAAAGATAATACTTTCATAGTCCATCAAACAATGCAAATTAATGCTTTCAAAGAAAAAGTATTTTTATAACAATAGTTATGTTTAATACTTGATTTTATGGTAGCTTTTGCAGGAAATTTAAATCTCAAAATTATAAAATCAATTAAATTAACTGGTAAATAACTACGTTTATAAAATTAGACTTTTTAACAATATTGTCAATAATAATTTAGATAAAATGTAATATCACAAGCAAAAGTAATATTATATTGTTGGCCACCTTTTAAAAGCATTTGGAATTGTACATTGTAATATAATAAGTTGAAATATGCATTTATTTTATAATAAAATTAAATATCAACAAAATGATCCTTTACTCAGAAATAAAAAATTGTGTAAATTATTTTATTTAATTTCCAAACCCTCTTTTTACAAGGTAATAGCTGTCTGTCTGTCTGCGCGGATTTAAAAAATACATAAGAAGTAGCCTATGTGTTCTTCCAGACAATATTCTAAATCCATGACAAATTTCAGTGAGATCCATGCAGCCATTCTGGAGATACCTTCAAACATTCATCCATCCATCCATGTAAACATTTGCATTTATAATATTAGTTAGATTGCAAGTGTCTAGTTACTATCATATATTGTAAAATTCACAAGTAATTTGTATCAACACATTAGCATTAATAGTAGGGATTTTATATCAGATTTTTTTTTTACATTCAACATCCAAATAACTAGTGTGCTTTAAAAAAATTGAAACAAACTAAAACAAATTAATTATTTCTTTTTATTACTAACAAATGAGAACTAGACAAATCATTCTGAGTAAGTTTCCATTTAAGCTTTAGCTGGAGGCCAGTCCCATTGTCCTTTAGGTGGCCGGGATACAAGAGGTTCCCATGGTTTCCAGTTCAACATTTTCCTGGCCAGGTGTAATTCATTTTCGGCTTGTATTATAAGTTCTTCAGCTTGGCCACAATTAATTTTAGACTCCAGTTCGTATGTATCTTTTGTCTGAAAAATTATAAATTTAGTATGGATGAATTAATATTAAAGTAGATAATCAATAATGATTGAATTTAATGAAAATAATTTCCATATATTAAGACGATGTGCCTCGACTATAGTATAAAAAAAGCTTTATTTTACGTAATAACTTTATCAAATTATAAAATACCTGCTGTAACACAGCTGCCCTCTCTCGAACAATCTGTTCAGTATATTTTCTGTAAGCTGCATTTTCCGGCATTTTCTTTAAGGTTCGCAAAATTTTTCCGTAGAGTGCACCAAGAGTATGATGGGGATTAGGAGCAACTGCTAATCCCATAAGCCCTGTGGTCTAGATAGAAATGCCATTATATTTTTGGGTTAGAACATATTAAGTCAATTATTTACATTAAGCTCTTAACTGTACTCTGTATCTTGATCGGTTTAATGACGAGCGTAGTGTATATTAACTAGAATATTAAAGCAAATTAATGAAATATATAATGGAACAAAACCAAAACATAGTTATATAACAATCTTTATAACAACATTCATATGAGACAACTAATAAAAAATTACCTTCTTTAAGACCCCCATAATTTTAATAATAAATTAGACGCTTGATTAACGATTCTAAAATAAATGTTTTCCCAATTTTTGTACTAGAACAATAACCTTAATGAAATGTCAGCGAATCAAGTGTCAACTGTCAATCTCAACTCGATATGTCAAAAAGAATCTTAATTTTTTCAACGATAATTGGTAGTTTAAAAGTGTGTAGCTTGCTTGTACATACAACCTATTTTTCATGCTTGATTTATGTGTAAAAAATATTCCGGAAGCTATACAATACAAAATAAAGAATTTTGATTTTGTCTAAAAAAACATTCATTAAATTCATTGTGACTCAGTTTTTCTTAACCGCGTTTAACCAACATTTAACCATTGTTGTTACTCTTTGATATTTGTGCAGAATCTGTTTTGTCTTGAACTGAACGGATCGCTGGATCGTGGATCGCTGTATTCTTTTTCCCAATAACGATTCTCTACTATTACTATCACCACAAGATTCAGTCAAGATCAAAACGCACATTGACGATAAAAAGATTCTAGATATGAAAATATGTAGGTTTAGAAATCTCATGCAAGATAGCTAACCGAATAAAATGAAATTGCGAGTTACCCTTTGAGTTCAGCACTGCTAAGGTAATTACGTGTATTGATAAATATGATTAATAAAATCACATCTGATCTGTGTGCCATATTTTTGAGACATGATATCGTTTCATTAACTCTCATGCGTCTTATCAGCAATAACAAGCGAAAATATTCAAAATAAACTATTTAAAAGATAAAATGGTGAATTGTTTATAAGACATTCACTGAAATTCTTCGAACCAAGCTCTATGAAGTCTATATAAGAATTGGAAACATGAAAATTTACACAATTCCTTTTGTCATTTTATCGACATATTGTCAAGTTAAATGATTTAATGAGTTGGATATTATATATATTATAGACATTGTTTGTCTTTGCATTTCTAATTAACTTATACTGAGAGAAACTCATACTGAACAAACTGCTTGCACAGTTTTTAAGGAGGCTGAGAGTTATGATAATTTGTACAAAGTATGTGCACACTGTAAATTCACAGCATCATCTAAACATATTTCTCTTTAAACTTTCAGTTTCTCAACAATGGAGACTTTAGCTACTGCCACACAAGATGACAGTTCAGGGGCAAATCCGAGCAGTGTCAAGAGTGACGATAGCAGCCCTCGACACGAGAGTGGTCGGGGCTCTCCTCCCCCAAACTGTGCTATATGCTTAGGAACATGCCGTAATAATTCTTTCACCGACTCCTGCTTACACCAGTTCTGTTTTAAATGTCTATTAACCTGGAGCAAAGTAAGTTGATCTGATTTTTCCGCCGGCTCGGCCGGCGCCGGCTCTACCACTTTTAAAACTGTTAGTGAGCAATGAAGCTGCACATTACTATTATTAAGTTGTTTTGAATAGTATTGTCTTATCAGTTTCATTGTACCAGTTATTGTCTCATAAAACAAAGTTTAAATACATAGGTACATATGTACATATTTTTAAACTTGTCTATAGTAAAGAAATATTGGAATTTGTTTTAAATTTTTTTATGTTTTTTTTATATTAATTATGAACATTACAGGTAAAGCCAGAATGTCCGCTGTGCAAACAGACTTTTCGTTCAATAATACATAATGTGAGATCAAATCATCAGTATGAAGAATATATGGTTGAACAAAGACAGACGGAGGATGCTGTGGAAAGGATAGACATAAATACACTAACATCAACACGTAGGTTTAGATACAGGTAAGCTATATGAGATAATCATTTTTTTTTAAATATATACTGGCTACAAAGAATAGATACAATGACAATGTTAAGTCTGAATATTGAAATGTTGCTATTAATAACCTTTGTAAGTTTAAACTGTCGTCAACTGTAGAGCATATTGTTATCACTATTTATTACAAGGATAATGAAAGGGATAGTAATGTTGTTATACAAGTGCTACAACTGTGGAAATACAAAAAGAACAATGGAAAATAAGAAAGAACCATTTGTTAATTAAAAATCTGTTGTGCCAACCATACATTAAGTGGGACGAGGGGAGATGATAACATTTAGTTGCCAGGCAATAAATTTGTAATTTTTAAATTTTCAGATGTTGGAGAAATATAACTTAACATTCTGTCAGCTGGATACTTTGATTCTGCTATTCCAATAGGTGACATTGTATTTGTGTAGGACGACGCTGACGCTGCCGCGGCGCGAGTCGCTGGCCATCCAGCAGCTGCTGCTGCATTACCCGATGATGGCGGATGTGCTGCCAGCCCCGCGCCCCACTCCCCGCGCCCCGCGCCGCCGCTCGCCCGCCTCCTTCCGCCGCACCGTGTATCGCCATAACCTCTGGGCACGACCTCTTCCCGACTTCACGGGACGATTCAGGGACTGTTCGCCTTTATTTTATAGGTAAAACAACTCACAGATTTGTAACACAACTTACCATACCTATAAACTTACCTTATTCTTTAAAAATATATGTTAATTAAATACATTTTTTTATGTTAAAGGTATAATGATTCACAAGTGCATCGATTAGTACCATGGCTCTCTCGAGAACTTCATTATTTATTAAATGAGAACCTGGGGCACATATCCTATGTGATAACGAGGATCCTGGAGCTCCTGCCCCAGTACCACATAAACTCTCCGGAGTTCAGGGAGGCGATGCTCCGGTACTTCGGCGACAGGACCGACCACTTCTTGCACGAGCTGTACTGCTTCGCTTCCACGCCCTACGACATGACCGGCTACGACCGCAACGTGCAGTACACCACCGACACTAGGATATCTACCATGGTCAATGAGGTCATATCCAGTTCCGAATCGGAAGCGAGCACGGACTCCGACATCGTTATGGTGTCGAGCTCCGAGCCGGCGGAGCAGCCCCCGGGACCCTCCAGAGTGCCCGCTCCCGTCTATCCTCAAAACTACATTCCAGAGCCTACGACAAACAACGTCATACCTATTGAGACCTTATCGCATACAGACACAGACGACGATTCATCGGAAGTTATGGTCGTAGGATACATTAAACCACCTCAGGACAGGACTCCCGAAGTGGTCGATTTACTCGGATCGGATAGCGACGTGATCGTTCAGGAAAACGTGCCGGAAACGTCCCAAAGCCACGACGCGCCGGAAAGTAGACCTTCCGGATCACTAGTTAAATTAAGTTTAAAGAGACACAAGGCTCCAGTGTCGGACTCCGACAGCGATAATGACGCCCACGTACCTCCGCCCACCAAGCGCAAGTGCCGACATCGCTCCAACGACACGGCGACCACCTCTGACACGTGCCGTACCACGCCCTCGCCCGCGCCCGCCTGCCCGCACGGGTACCCGCCCGCGCCCTGGCCCGCTCCTATGCCCTGGCCCGCTCCTATGCCCTCGACCACCGCCTCCTCCACCAGCAGCGAGCCCAGCGCCTGGTCCAGCGGAGAGACTTACTTTTCCACCAACAAGAGAAAAAGATTGCACAAGAAGAAGCCCAAAAAGAAAAGTAAAGAGGCATCCAGTGAGAAGAGTAAGAAGAAACCAAAAAAGCGGTCAACACGACAGCCAAAAGAAAAGAATGCCACGAATTCTACAGCAGACAATGAGAAAAGCAAAAAGCGAAAATCGGATTCTGGAAAAGGAGTGAAATCATCTAAAAAGGCGGCTGCGAGTGCGGCGGCCGCCGCTGCGGAGGCGAGCGCACCGGCCGCCGACCTGCCCGGCACCAGCGGCGCCTCCGCCCGTAGGAACCAGGACAAAGACAGGAAGGCAGACAGTCGTAGACCGGAGCGAGAGAATAGAAGACTGAAAAGTGTTGTGAATGTCGTAAACGGCCACAAGAATACGAGTGATACAAACTCAAGTGCCAGCCCGCGTGCGAATGATACTAGTGCGGTGATAAATTCTGTTGTAGCGAATACTAGCTCGTGTCAACGTTCCGTCAAAGTGGATGTGGGTCGACGGACTGTGATCACGCAAAGGTGTGAGCCGCAGTCGGCCGCCAAATACGATACTGACGGAACTTCGGATTCGGAAGACGATCTACCCTTAAATCTGACTGTGAAAAGGAGCGCGTGTTCTTGAGTATAATTATTACAAATATATGTTTAGCGTTATGCTAACATTTGAACGGGTTACCGAGGACTAGAAGTGTGCTGGATTACGAATACAATGATTGTTTACTTGAATACAGATCCGCCGAATTCATTTTACAAAATTAGTAGCTTTAACCATAATTTAAGTTTAATTTATTCATCTGGCACACTTCAATAAGCATTTGTTGCATGAATCGCCATCTGAGTTTGTATATCATATTAATATTGTAAATATATTCTTAACCTATTCTACTTAATTATTTGGTTAATTATATGATCAAAACATACTATGAATTGTACTTGTTGAATTTAATTTTGAATATTAAAAAGCAAAAAAAAAAAGTATTATTACAATGAGTATTGAGAAAATTGCTATATTACATTATATTGACACAAGACATCCTTTTGAACATAACTACTCTATGAAAAATAAAATTTACCTATTGAACATCTTGAAATTATATTTCTTAATATTGCATATTGTTAATTTACGGGTAATACAGACAATGTACTATATAAATGAACTAATGGTTGTTCTGATGTGGTGGAGCATTGCGCAGTTAATTGCAAAAACAACTGGATTGTAAACATATTGTAGGCCCCGGGGACGCGTAGATCTGCGATATCAAGTATGGTACAACGTCGTAGGGGCTTTGTGAAATAAATGTACAATAAAAATCTTTGCAAATGTTTTATTTCTATTCTAGAAGTAATTGTTCAGGTAAAGTTTATACTAGTGTAGTTTTAATTAAAACTAGTCCTCGACTTCGTCTGGAAAGAATTAAAAAAAATTTCGCCTATAAAATATATAAGCTAAGAGTATATATGTGTTCTGTGCCTACAGTATGGCCGCCTGCATCAGCTACCTTCCCGTCAAAATTCTGTTAAATTTGGTCCTGTCATTACGGATTTTACCTTGACCAAAATCGACCTTGAAGACAGATAAAAAAATGGTTTTTCGTTACTAGCAACGCATATACAGCATGGGTATGAAATATGATTTTTTTTTCGATATTAAAGACGCTGCATTTATTCTCCATTTTCCTTACATCGAGTTAGTAATCGTATGATTCAGTCATGCTTAGTACATTTCCCCAAGAATGAATAAACCTTAAAAGGTTAAAAACGTATGAAAAATTGCGTTATTTTCTTCCTCATAACCTTGTAATTGAGCATTGATTTATTACCACAATAAAGGATATATCTTTCTTTATTGAATTGCATTTTAGACATATAAGTACTACAGTAAACTTCCAGTAGGATGCATTCCTATTTTCATAATTAATCGATTCGAATGTCTGCAGTACTGAACGTGAAATCTATATTTCAATTTGCAGATGCCACCCCATTCCTTCGCGCATGATAGGTTAATAGTAAAATTCGCGATTGCGCAAAAGTGGTATTCAAGCGGTAACTATGCATTCATATACGTATGTTTGGCCAGATGCAGGCTAGAGAGTTTATTTATTGTACGCGCCTCAGCTCGCAACGAAGATAACGAAGGATTTGACCGCAGTGGCGATCGAGTGTACTAAATTACTACACAATAACAAAATAAACCAATATATGATTGATATAATTCTACATTTAAGACATTTAATTTAATTTTATAGATTAAATTATTTTATTCCGAAGGTGATACTGCTGTAAAGCAGTATAAAAAGCACTAACTATAACTATTCCTATTTCATAACATAACGAATGTCACGAACCTTTGTTTAAATAGAAGAAGAAAAAACAACCAATCAAGATATACTTTTTATTTCATTTTAAACTTAAATTCTAACTATACAATAAACAAGAGAACTTGTGTATTAAAAAATAAAGTCTATACGTTTGACGGTAACAGTTTTATGGCAAAAATTTTGTCCACACGAAGTTTCACTTCTAAGATTCAATACATAAGCATAAAAATATAAAACATTACATACAACCAAAAGCAATACATCTAGAAAACTAGACAGAATTTTTGTATTAAAATATATAATGACAAATAAAACGAATATTATTATAAGAATAGCTAACACGTTTAAATTGAAAACAAAAGACTATTTAATTTATTTTTCTAAAAAGCTCTTGTTTTGTAGTATATAAGTAACGATTTCTAATCACACTCATCTTATTTATATATTTTCTTTGATAAATCATGAGTGATCGAAAGAAGACATGATGGATGCGTATGTAAAATGATGTGTTCAAAGTATGTTGCAGAAAGATATTCTGAAGTCAAAATCTTGCAAATCATTTAGTACCAAACGGTTTTTTGTATCAAAGACGTAATATATTTAATTATAGGTATATTAGACCCTGTTTTATTTTAATTTTGGTTGTTAAATTACTATTTCTTTTTATCCCTTAAAACAATGAACGCAAGAATCATAATACATTATTGCTTTTCTATTAAATTAGGTTCTGTTTTGATAATACGATGATATTTGATAAAGGACGGTTCATTGTACTAATTTCAAATTTATTAAATTCTTGTAGTTTTAAATAAAAGAATGTATTCCAAAAGACTCAATGCAATTTATATTGTTGATTTTTGTGCTTCATACATAATTGATTACCAAATAAATATTTATTTTATCAAAACAATATATGCAACTTTCCTTGTTAGCGTTAATATATTGTCTTGTATACCAGCTTGTCAAAGCATATTTTATTCTTGCAACATTTAGGAAGAGCAAAAACAAAAAAATAAAACAAAAGTTTTGAAGTTATTTTTTTAACATTCAAAAATATTATTTGATTTCGCTCATAATAAGCATAAAACTTAAAAATAAATAACAAGCTACAAGTCAAGCTCTAAGATAAATTTGAAGTTCAATAATTATTATGTTTTTTTTATAGGAGAAGGGGGCAAACGAGCAACGAATCGTCATCACACGAATGTTAAATGGAACATTCGTGTGATGGCATCATGAAATATTAACCAAGATATTTGCAGTTACAATAAAAAATAAACAGTGTTTCTTATATATTATAGTAAGCCATATTTATAAGAAATAAATAGATAATTTAAAAGATCCATGTTAGTAAAATAAAAAAGATGACAGTAAGTCAATAAAAATGTGATTTCATAATAAATATATGTTCTGAATTTTTTAATCCATCTTTAAAATATATAGTCGCATCTTTATTTATTGTATGGAGTAGTAAAGTAATATTATGAGCAATTTTAGTCATAAGCTAAAGAAAGTAAAATAGGCCGGACAAAATTGATAAAAAGTATTGCATTTTTATATAACGTTTAAGAAAATATTCATAATTCCATAGATATATTATAAATATATAAGGCAATCTAATTATTATCTTATCATTTGTGAAAAATCATATGCAACATTACATTAATATTGCCGTCCTTTTCATTCCGTTTGGAAATAAAGTGATGACATATTTTTGTAAAGTCGTTGGCAGCTAAGCCTACAGATAAAAAATACTGTTACAACCTCTTTAAATTGACTTAAAACAAATTCGTTATTATACGTTACGTGATTTTTTTCTATTTTCTTTGTCAATATAAGATGCTATGAAGGACGAAACATTTGATATTTGATAAAAATCTATTGAAAAATAATATGCTTAACCTTTAGCTAAGGCGTTAAAAACAAAGATAAGTAATTTATGAGGGGTTGACTTCGACAACAGTGCTCATGTGCTGAGGGTGAGGCTTGAATTCCACCACTTCCTTCCACACTAGCTCTGAAAAACAAAATAGCCTTAAAAGTTAGCCTACATCTAATAATATTATTAATGCGAATGTTTAGATGGATGAATGTTTAGATGGATGGATGTATGTTTGTTTGAAGGTATCTCCGGAACGGTATGGATCTCGCTGAAATTTGGTATACATATTGAACATATTCTGGAAGGTCACATAGGCTACTATGTTTCTTTTTAATTCCGCGCGAACAGAGTTGCGGCAGATTGCTAGTTTTGTTTATAAAACAAAACTATCAGTAACATGACTGTCACGCGACATTTTCTATAAGTGAGAAAGAGAAGAACGCTAGAGTAGGATGTAACATACAATAGCTGACATTGGTATCATACTTTCAAAGATTTTTTTTATATTAAAAATTTAACCTTTCCACTTGTCAACGGGCAGCTCCATATCCTCGAAGCTCTGGTCGTATGGCGCGGAGACTGGCTCATCCGTGGGGTCCGCGTACTGCGCCAGATACTCGTGAGCAAGCGCCTGCTCCGCCGTTATACGTCTACAAAATATTGGTTACGATTTTTATTTCAAATTTTTTTGCTTCCTTACAAAGCCGCATTTCATTATGCACCCCAACCATAATATAATAATTAACTTCAACATCCCCTAATCTCTAAAATGAACGGAATCCCTGACGTACTTATCGGCGTCAAGTTCAAGCATCAACTCCAGCAAGTTGATAGCGAGCGGATTAGCGCCGCGGAACACATCGCGGAAGTCACGTCGCTTCAATGCCGGCAGAGACTGGATGTAGTTTCTGGCCTGCAAGTATAACATTAATATCATTTTAGCTATTGCAAATTGACCATTACAGATGACCACCTACAATCCGGGCAAGAATACGAATCGAATAAAAACTTTTCCTTATTGCTCAAGGCGCTTTTATTAGGACGTCACAATAGAGTGAACATTTATCTATAGTAGCGAAAAACCCTCATAAGTAGAGCTATAATAATAACAAAATTAACAGTAAATCAATATCAAAAATCATTATATACTTGATAAGGTAATTAAAAATATGTAGAAGTAATTATTCAGTTTTAATATGGGTGTGTTTTTAATTATATGCCGCCTAGGTAACACAATAAACAACGCAGGTCACCTTGGAATGGCATAATTTATTAATGCGCTAATCAATTACGCAAAATAATATTTCTATGTTTTAACCGTACTGAAAAAACCTAAAACTATGTGACAATGAGAGTGTATTCATTAAATATCTTCATATTATATTAAATTATTCAAATGATCGAAATAGCATTGTCATCAAAGAAAAGTGCTTCATCTATAAAACATTTCAAATGTTTATGTATGTTACAAAGATATTAAAACATTCCACCTATTTCTTCAAGTTTTATTCATTATCATTACAAAATATGTTACCGTTTTGCGAAAAATATTAATATTTAGTTTAAAAAATAGTAATATTTATTTGATGCCATTTTCTGTCATAGCATTATGATACAAAAAAAATTAATTGATTACTAGAAATCTGAGTTGTAACATGGAACATTCAAATATTATTTTTAAGCAAAAAATGGAGTTAATTTTTGAATATTAATTTCTAGTAGAATTTTTATTTAATAGCCTATTATACTTTAGCATTGTGTTACATTATATTAAACTTATATGATATTTGAATAATAATAAGAATAATCTAAATCAATTTAGATTAATGGGAGATACCAATTATATACTTACAAATACAATACAGAAGTATTTAAATATGTATGTATTTTTTATTAAGTATGTTATTGGTTGGTTAATATTAAAACAGTTACTATCCATCTCATAATTACTTACCTCTTCACTTAGAATTTTGTCAATAGTATCCTTGTCAGGTTTGCCGCATAGAAATAATATCCTTGTGAGATGGTCAATATCTGAGCGTGTAAATGTTAAGGTTACACAAGCACCAAACTTACACTTACAGAAGCGAGTTGATGTTACAAACCATAATAAAGCATGTTACAGTTGCATACTATTGATGTTACAAACAATATTAACAGTTGATGTTACAAACTATATTAACAGTTGATATTACAGATTATATTAAAGCATTAATTTAAAGCTGTTGCAGTAACATAACAATGCATACATAACATGTGACGACGACAACGAAGATATGAGGAGAGACAGTTTCATTTAGAAAGATTTCCTATTTTGATTGTACTTACTGACTCTGAGGATATTTTCGTCATAAATTCTTGACCCGGTGTCCCCAGTATCTCCATGATTAAGTTTAACTGATGAATATCTGTCTCATTCATTAAGGTATACAAGCAAAAATATAACATTTAATTACAAATGAAAACACTAAATAACAAAATAAATTCTTAGCAATAGCAACCATATTAAATTAATATTTGTCGTACAATAAAAATGTATTACATTAAAATACAATACAGTCTATATGTTTAAAAAAAAAGGATACGGTCTGATCCTGGGAACAAAGTCCTGCCTGTCAAGAGTTCTGCCATGATGCAGCCGACTGACCAGATGTCAACTGTCTGGTTGTAATGCATCCAATTGAGCATTATTTCTGGAGCCCTGTACCATCTATACCAAAAACAATTTTAATATAAATATTGTTCTTTCCAATTACAAAATAATTTTAGATATTTGTATATTTCGACATATCTTTTTAAAGATTTGTTCATTCTACTCTACTCATTAATCATCAACCTTTCCTTGTCTCTACAGAGGGTCAGTATTACTGCTTCAGCCGACATATCTGAATTCACAATGAATTGTCTACATATGTTGCTTTTTACATACCTTGTAGCCACATAACCAGTCATTTCTGTTTCAGTGGGCCTGGCTAAACCAAAATCTAAGATCTTCAACTCACAGTCTTCATTTACCGCTATATTAGAAGGTTTTAAATCCTAAAAAAACAACTTCAAAAATTATAATTTTGTTATATCTTTTGTGTATTTGACTTCGTCTGCGCGGAATAAAAAAATCATAATGATTTAAATGAAAGAGTTTTGATGGATGGATGGATGGATTTTTGTTTTTAGGTATCTCTAGAACGCCAAAACAGATCTCTATGACATTTGGTATAGATTTAGAACACAATTGGGAGGAACATGTATGCTACCTATGATGCCAAAAATATACATGGTTCCTATGGGACACATTCATCTATCAGCAACAGCTGTCTGGTAATTAATATAATTTAACTCACTCATGGATAATGTAACTTACCAACAGTGAAATAAATTTTCAAATTGGTTCAATAGTTTCTGTTGCTTATTTAATGCAAACAAACAATCAAATCTTTCATCTTTATAATATTAGTATAGATAACAATATTTTGCAAGTTATTAAAAATTAAGTAGATTACGGTGCATTGTTATCAAATGTCATAAAAGTGTTGAGTCATGCACAATTGTCATAAATTTTTTAAAGTTTCAATGGATTGATGCTAATTGCACAATCAAACCAGTATCGCTGAATTTGTATATTGTTACTTACTCTATGTATAATTCCTGCAGAGTGTATATATTTCAATCCACGCAGAATCTGATATACAAGAAATTGCACATGATCATCTGATAACTTTTGTGTGCGCACTATATTATTCAAATCTGCGCCCATTAAATGTGTAACAAGATATACTTGTTGAAATTCTTCTAGATTCTTTTCAGGACTAAACACATCCAACAAACCTAAGGCAAAAAAAATCTTGAATATTCATAGAAAGATTTTTTTGTAACTCAGAATAATGAAAGAAAGTCAATTTTGATTTTCTAAAATTTTTAAGGAATTTGTCTTGTCCCATATATGACTTTAGGCAAAAACTTTGTCCTTGTAACAAAGTGATTGCTTTATTTAATTTACTATGATCAAACTGTTCTTTTAAAAATAAAACATTGTTATTGTACCAATAGATTTTGATATAATAGTAATAGCTAACATTTTTATATAAATAACCATAAATAAATAAAAACATTTGCAAAACTTTACATACTTTTCAATTAAGAAAAGCATATTAATGATAAGGTATTGTTAATACCTACCTATAACATTTTCATGATTCATATGTTTCAACAATCGAAGTTCCCGATATGATCTTTTGGCATGAACCGCAGACTGAAATGGTCTTGCCAACTTTTTTATGGCCACTTTCATATTATGTACTGTATCTATAGCAGAACTGTAAACAAAATAAATACATCTTGGTTATATGTCAGGTGATGTAATTTAGGTGCCAATACAATAACCACAAATTACATTCATGGCTCATATGCACTACAAAATAATTTAATTTAATATTGCTAATAATAAGAAATTAAATTTATATAAAACGCAGATACCAATTTTTTCCATTGTGCGATAAATTAGAGATAATTTTAGACTAGTATTTGAACCAGTTCCACCCACACAAAACAAGCCACATAAATGATTAAATAACCTGAATTGTAATTTCACTAATCTTATAATATATCTTGAATTAATCGGGAAATAACATTTGAAAAATCACAGTTCCTACATTATGCTTTTAAATAAACACATACCATACTTGACCATAAGCTCCAGACCCTACAGGTGTAAGCATCTGATATCTCTCGGGCACAATCCATTCTGTTTTATTGATTTCTACCGTATGGAATCGTGGCATTTTGTTTTATGAATTCTAAATTAGATTTCACTTTAAAAGGCTTTGTAATATATCTGTAAACAAAACTATAATTATTCAATATGAAAAATTGAAATAAATCGCTGTCAAAGCTGTCAGCCAAAGAGTATATAAAAATGCTGTCAGCATTTCTGGATAGTGAAGTACATGATTGATCAATGGTTGATGATATTTTGGCATCGAGAAAAAAAATCGATTATTTTTACTTACTATAATTAGACTTAGATTGACTCTTTCATTATGTCTAGATTCATCACTCATTTTTTTATTAGGTAATTTTTTACTTGCCATAAATGTGAAATAGTATTTTATATTTTACACATGTACGTAAACCAATTAAAACTATCGTTGTCTTGTCATAATGTTCTATGTTCTGACAGTGACAGTGACCGTCATGTGTTCTTTAATGTCAGTCAGATCTTCTGTCATTGAAAAAAGCGAATTTTAAGAACAACAAACACCTAAAATCTAAGATCAGAAAGAAGGATTCATAAAAGACGGCAAAATGGCACAGACAGCGGGAGTAAAGCCCATGACTATTGTTGGTCGTGTGGCGTCCGAACGAGAAAGATGTCTTGGGATGACTGATGCAGAGAGGGCTTGGCGTAAGCAATGGTTGCAAGACCAGATTTTAGCTTCAAACGAACCGGTCCATGTCGAGGAATATTGGAGAGAACGCATTAATCCTATTCGTCGGTTGTATCGCAAACCTTTGGATGTTATATACAATGCCCTTACCCCTGCTCTGGTAAGATTACATAACCCCAATAACCTAAACATTTAAGTAGTAAAAATGAAGATAACATAAAAGAGTACCTTTTATTGTTTCAGGGAGCTCAACGTGCTGCAGATTATAGATATATAACAGGAAAACTTGGATTCATGGCATTTGGAATTCTGGCAATCCATTACTATTTCAAGTACAATGCAAATGTAAGTATTACAATTTCCTACTATGTATAAAAACTTATTTATAATCTTTTCTAATTTTTTTTTATTAAACTCGGTATATTTCACATGTTTTGAATTTCTTTTATGTATTTTAATTGTGTGCCAGTGATCTTTTATCTGGTTAAACAATTACTAAATAATTATTTTACTACTTTTAGGATTGGACAAGAAAAGGAGGCTGGCGAGTGATAAGATCAAAGCCCATGGTCCTGCCAGGACAACCTGGATTCCCATTCAAATCTGATCGCCATGAGCCTGCTGATTATGCAAGCAGGGGATTCAAATCATCTCCTATATAAAATTCATTGCTGTTTTAATAATTTTAAATAGGCCAATGAAATATAGAAAACAGTTTCTAAAAATAATCCTGTGGTTCTAAAAGAAATTGTCAAAAATATTAGTCATTAAAGGTAATTTATAAAAAGACATTTTATTTGATTTGTAGAATGCTTAGAAGTGAACTTACATTTTAGTTTTTTAAAAAACATATTTAACTATAAATATTTCACAAGAAATAACTTGGATCAAGATTAAATACAATTTAATTATAGTATATGATAATTTATTAGGCAAAATGTATTCCCTCAGAATTAAAAGCATGTAATAGTTTCATAAAATCATCACAGTCCATTGTTCTAGCTCTCATTTGATCCAAACCAACAGTAGTTAATATTTCTTGAACCTTTTGTTTTATATCAAAATCTTCTGGTATTTCCTGCAAAATTATATATAATTTATCAATAACAATGAACAATTTAATATGAAGTATTCTAGTAACATTTAGTAGAGATAGAAATTTTTACCTTGTTGTGCAGGGAACAATGTACTTTATAATTCTTTTCTAGTGCTGCCATTGTTGTTGAATGTTTGAATGCGGCTGATAATGTTTTATTCTTTCTAACAAATGCTATTCTTGTTAAGCCGTCCCATTCAACGAAATTTATAGGTGGAGGTGGATTTCTAGGCTCAATCCTTACAACACTGGATTCTACTTTTGGTGGTGGCCTGAAATTGTTTTTCCCAACCTACAAAATAAATTGTATGTCATAAGTACAAGGAAATATTATATACAAAAGTGCACAAGATAAAAAATTATGTTACCTTCATCAACATATCAACACGGGCTAATAATTGAGTATTTATTGACAATCTACAGTACAACTTGTCACCAGGTTTGGCAACCAATCTTTGGGCAAATTCTTGTTGAAACATAAGTACCGCACATCTAAAGAATGGTCTGTGTAACAACAATTTGAATACCAGAGGTGAACTGATTTGGTATGGAATATTTGCCACACATATATCAAAAAATGGCAGCTCTGTTTTCAAAACATCTCCAACAATTATTTGCAGCTTGGATTGATAAGGTGTGCCTTGAACTCGTTTTTGAAGCTCAGCAACTAGTCTTTAGAAAGAAAACTTTTATTAAAACAGCATTCAATACATTTAGAAATAATTTGGAGGATAATACAAATCAATTACCTTGTATCAATTTCACAAGCAATAACTTTTTTGACGCGGTCTAACATTTTCATTGTCATGTTACCAGTACCTGGACCAATTTCAAGGGCGACATCAGTAGGTCTCAGTCCTGATTTATCTAACATTGATGTAATAATAAGTGGATTTTTTAAGATGTGTTGACCGAAATCCTTATTAAATTGAATACCTACAATAAAATTAATATTATTTAATATCACACAAAACAAATATACACATGTGATTTTAACCTTATTACACATGTTCGAAGAGTTTACCTTGTTTTGCAATTTCATTATGTACTCTTGCTTTCTTTTCTGCTTTTATTTTCGGCATTTTAACCGGTATGTTTTTCAATAACTATGAAGGAAAAGAAAATTAATCTATTTCCCTGAAAATACAAATATTGGCATTTGATTTGACGCACACTTGTCAATTGCGCATGGGAAATGTCAACACCAAAGAGCAAATAAAACATGCTTAGAACTTACGGTAGAACAATTTAATTTTTTTATTAGTGGGTATTTAAAGAAATAACGCATCAGCGTTGCCTCAGATTCTCTATTTAGGGTTTGTCATTTTTACTAGCAATTTCTAAATTACGTATATACCTGCATCGCTCTAATTATTTTTATATATGACGGGCTACATTGTATCGGTTTATTGATTATCAAATAAGAAATATGTAAGTTATATCATCAAGGTTTCACTTATAACAACAACGATGTTATCTCATTTTTCAGGTGTTCATAGAGAGTTTTAATAAAAAGATTTGAAGATAAAACCATTTTGTGTACTTCTCTTGTTTTTGTGACTTGCTGTGTGTTCTATGAGCAATATTTAATTTCTATCTGGCAATTCATAATCGTCAAATTTTGGCATGGTTGATCTTAACTTGAAGGAATAAAATAATATCGTTTTGTTGGAATTATTATGAAAATGGAGTGGAAACCTGAACCAGAAGGATTACGGCAAATACTTACACTTCTCAAGGAGTCTCAATCACCGGACACAGTTACCCAGAGAGCTGTTCAACAAGTATCCTTTTGCAATTCTTTAGTCGGTTGCCCTAATCGGCGTGGATGTTTTTTTAATATAAAACCGTTATATTTTTAATTTGGAGAAATTTTATGATTTAAAATATATATGGGTTTGTATGTAAGTTATGTACTAATTATAATTTAGAGCTTAGCATCTTTTCACCACGCTCGTGATAAAATCGATTTTTCCGACATGACAGTCATTGACAGCTTTCCGTTGTAATTATATTTTCCATAACAATATTTTATCAGAAATTGGAAGAATTGAACAAGTATCCAGACTTTAACAATTACCTTATTTTCGTATTAACAAAATTAGTCTCGGAGGAAGAGCCTACAAGGTCTCTCAGTGGTTTGATCTTGAAAAACAATGTAAAAGCACACTACAATAATTTTCTGCCGGAGGTCGCGGAGTTCATAAAACGTGAATGCCTATCAGCTGTAGGAGACCCTTCACCTTTAATCAGAGCCACTGTGGGCATTATAATTACAACTATAGCAAGCAAAGGCGAATTGACTTCATGGCCAGAACTCTTGCCTGCTTTGTGTCATATGCTTGATTCTCAAGATTACAATGTGTGTGAGGTAAGTAAGATAAAAATTAAGTTGCATTGACAACTGAGTACATTTGAGATATTATTATAGTATGTAAATATAACTAATTACATATTTAATTTTCAGGGAGCTTTTGGGGCACTGCAGAAGATTTGTGAAGACACTGCGGAAGTTCTCGACTGTGATGAACTAAACAGACCTTTAAATGTACTAATACCTAAATTTCTTCAGTTCTTCAGGCATTCATCACCTAAAATAAGATGTCATGCTATAGCATGTGTTAATTATTTCATAATGGGCCGAACACAAGCCCTTATGTTGCATATTGATTCATTTATAGAGGTAAGTTTTTATTTTATGTCAATTTAAAGGATACATTATCACAGCCAGCCAATGAGTATTTTATGATGTAAGAAGTAATTCAATCTGAAAAGACTGCATCATTATAAAAAAATTCTAACTATTGTTGTAAAATCTGTTACAGAACCTTTTCCATCTAGCAGCAGATGAAGATCCGGATGTCAGGAAAAATGTTTGTCATGCTTTAGTTTTACTCCTTGAAGTTCGGTTGGACAGGCTCATACCACATCTTCCCAACATCATTGAGGTATTTACTGTTACAAACTAAATATCACTAATTCATAAAAACTGTGTCAATGTGTGTTTATTAAAAAAAATGTTTTCAGTATATGTTGATCCGCACACAAGATGCTGAAGAAGGTGTTGCCTTAGAAGCTTGTGAATTCTGGCTTTCTCTTGCTGAGCAGAATGTTTGCCGGGAGGTAAGAGTTATTTTATCCTTATTTATTTCACTAATCTTTTTTTATTGTTTGTAATATTGTGGCCAGATACCGATTACAACACCTTACTTATATTAGTTAGAAGAAAACAAATACAATAAGATTTATTCATACTTGTAGGTGCTGGGTCCACGTCTGCCTGCACTACTCCCAGTGCTGGTACGAGGCATGCGCTACTCAGAAATGGATGTGATACTTTTGCGCGGTGACAGAGACGATGACGCCGATGACGCGGAACCTGATCGCGAATCTGACATACGTCCGCGCTTCCACAAACCACGTTCCCACACCATCAAGCATAATGGTAACTTTTTCTTTATTTAATAGTTGGTAAATGTGCAGAAGGCCACCTGGATTTGCTGAAATAGCGAAGTGACTGCTTCCCATAGACATCAGGAATTGCAGATGCGTTGCCTACCGTTAATCTAAGGAGATTTTGAGTTGAATGAAATAAATATTTTATGTTCATGGGAAGGACTTAAATCCTATTGCTGGCTTTAGCTATAGTTGTTTATACTGTCCAGCGGGCGCGGGCGACAGCAACATGTCGGGTGGCGGGGAGTCTGATGAGGAGGATGATGGCGGCGCGGAGGGCGATGACGGCTCGCTCTCGGATTGGAATCTGCGCAAGTGCAGCGCCGCCGCGCTCGACGTGCTCGCGAACGTGTTCGGTGCCGACCTGTTGCCCGTACTCTTCCCCATACTCAAGGAGACCCTATTCCACAACAACTGGATTATTAAGGTAGTGCAAGCAGAAATAATTAAGTAATAGTAATCTTTGTAAAAAACACATTTTTGTTTCCTAGTCTGAAATGAAACAGTATACACCCGTCCTTGAAGACATACAAAGAGTTATTTCAATTGAAGAGTGTAGTTCCCGAGATAAGCATGACTAAATGATAAATAACAAGTTTTGGATTTATGCAGGAAAGTGGTATCCTGGCGTTGGGCGCGGTAGCGGACGGTTGTATGGGCGGCATGGTGCCTCACCTGCCAGACCTGGTGCCGTACCTGGTGTGCTGCCTGTCGGAGCGCAAAGCCCTCGTGCGCTCCATTACCTGCTGGACCCTCTGCCGATACTCGCACTGGATAGTCTCACAGTCCCACGATCAGTATCTAAGACCTGTTATGACTGAGGTAAGACACACACATAAACTTAACTGTAGGATAAGTCAATGATCTGCTATAGTGTTATAGTACTAATGATTTTTTTTCACATCGTAAAAAATACTAAATGGGTTATTAATTCGCGCAAAGCCACTATGCTTAATGTATCTCAGATTTTTAAAAATTTTTTACAATATTTTTTACAACTGTGTTTTATTTCTAGTTACTGAAGCGCGTGCTCGACAACAACAAGCGGGTGCAGGAGGCAGCCTGCTCGGCTTTCGCCACCCTGGAAGAGGAAGCGTGCACAGAACTCGTGCCCTATCTCGGTCACATTCTGCAGACTCTGGTCTACGCTTTTGGCAGATATCAACATAAAAACTTACTCATATTGTATGATGCTATCGGCACATTGGCAGACTCGGTAGGCCATCATCTCA